TCTCCAAATGCTCCGCCCCAGGGACCCATACCGTGTTTTGCAGAGCATCAGCAATGTATATTGCAAACTTTAACATCTCTCCCTGGGGCATTGATCTGAAAATTCTCTGGCTGCTGTTTAGCAAACCAGGCCTGATATTTCTTCCATCAACCACTATTCCACTTTTTCGCTCACAGTATGTACTTATATGTCAATGTGTATGTGTACCTGTGTGTCCGACAACAAGTGATGCCTCTCACATTAAGTACAAGCTTAGATTGCATGAACGCTGATGCATTTGAATAGCATGTTTTCCTCACTTATAACAAAAATGTGCATGTTAAATGAACGCCATCCTATTGTCTTGTTTTATATGACACCGTCTAGTTAGATGCGTTATTGTGGCGCCGCAGGTTCGTTGTAATAACCCTTTGCATGATAAAAATAAGGAATTAAAAAAAAAAAAAAAGACAGCAGCTGCCTTAAAGGACCAGTCTCGTTATCAACGAAGGCTAAAAATAGGACAACAGAGTCAACGCGTTTCGTCTTCTGTGGAGACTTTATCAAGACTGCTGTCCCAGATCAGCAAAGCCCGGCTTATATACCATCAAAGACTGGGCAATTAGTGAAGAAACAGAAATGGATTTCTCCAGATCCCTATTAGGCAGAAAAATTGTTGTACTGCATAGCAAATAATTAAGTAATAGAGATATCTGCCTACAGAATATATAGTATTCAAATAATATATCATAAATAACAGAAATAAAGATAAAATGTCAAAAAGGAGAACATATTAAAAATAAGATAAAACCAATTAATATATCTATGTAGAACATCAACGTATATCATCCCAAAAATATATATATATATATAGAAAAGGGGACTGGCCTGTTCAAGTTAGGGAAGGCTGTTACTGATTAACCCCTCTGATGTATAAATACACATTCTAATTATATATAAATATATAGGCATGTAGTTTGTAATTGTGATGTGCAAGATATCATTTAATAAGGATGTGCATTAGAAAAACATTCGGTTGGTTCGGCATTCCAAAAATCGTCACTTCGGAACTTCAGGACTTCGGGTAAGTGTTAGGTTAGGGGTGGGGTTATGGTTAGGGTTGGTTTAGGGTTAGAGGTAGGGTTAGGGTTGGTTTAGGAGTAGGGTTAAGGATAGGGTTAGGGTAGGGATGGTTTAGGAATAGGGTTAGCGTAGGGTTAGGTTAGGGTTGTGGTAGGGTTAGGGATACCCTACCCCTACCCCAACCACTAACCCTACCCCAACCACAAAGCCTACCCCAACCACAAAGCCTACCCCAACCCTTAACCCTACCCGTAACCCTACCTCTACCCCAACCACTAACCCTACCCCAACCCCTAACACCAACCCTCTCCTGTTTTGCCACTTTTCAATTCAGAAATTCGGCACTTCGGCAATTCGGTTCAGTATTCTGAAATTCGGCAATTCAGAACTTCGGTCCGGCATTCCAAAATTCGGCACTTTGGAAATTCGCCAATTCGAACATTTGGAAGCGATTGTCCAAATTTCCGAAATTCGTCCAAATTTGCATTCAGAACAAAACGAATTGCACATGTCTATCATATAAGAAGGTGTTGTTCTACCAACTAAGTTGTAGAAAAATGGTACTCTTTGTAGTTATATAACCTGGTCTATCTCCTCATTTAGACCATATGGTTTAAGCGATATTTATAAAGATAAACAAACCCATCATGTGCTTACATTTAAGAAGCAAGGTTAGTATGATAATGCTGGGTGCCCCTGTATTCACCTGAATCAAGAATCAATCCATACATTTTTATGGTGGTATCCAATACCAATTCAGCGTTGAGTTCAACATGATTTAAATGCAAGCTCAAGCAGGAAACTACAATAATAACATATGACTTTTTCCACGTGAATGCATGAAACCCATCTTTATCATAAAAATCTTGCTTCTATTTTTATTTTATGTTTTACAATCTTTATTGTCAAAGTTTAATAGTTACAAGAGTGCACTTAAGAAAGAGAAAAACACTAGAATTGCATTATATCTATAAACGTATGTGTAATGAGGGAAATATCACTAACTTTAGACACCATATGGCATTCTAACTGATTAATCCTTAGGAGCATAAGGCTTATGGTGTCTCTTATTGACCACTTATGTGGATGGTCAACATGTAGGGTGAACAATACAGGATGAATGGTAGAACAGTAGGTATCATCCTCCAACACAAACAATATTAGCCTTGAGTTTTTAACAGTGTACAGCGTGGGGTCCACTTTAACTTCACCTAAGCAGGTCTGTCCCAAGTCAGCTAATGCACCGGTTGAGGTACCTACCGGAATTTAGGAAGTGAGAACCCATTTTACCTTTCACTTTCCATAACTTGTTCCCATATGTCACCCCCACAATCTCTACCTTCCGTTCTTTCTCTCCTCCACAACCACCTATCTATAACATTATTTTATCCTTTCCATTTTCCCCTCTACTTATGGATTTTTTATATTTAGACAACGGTAGCTCTGTATGGTGCATAAAAAGCAAGGAAATAAATATCTCCTATGTGGGGAATAACCCCTAGTGAATAACTTCACCAAAAATACAAAAGAAAGAAAGAAAAGGAGAAAGATAGGACAGACTAATACCAATAGTCCTAATAGAGTGGATTTCCCTTAGAGAGAAGGGAAATAGTGTCGGGAACCGTTGGTGTATAATAGCACAATCCCAAAAATAAAACGTAGCTTTTAATAACAACTAACTAAAAAAACAACAAATAATAGTGGATTCAATTGCCCACCAAAACAGCTATGTCTATATATAGCCGAACGACGGCACCTCCAGGAGCAGTCTAAAAAGGTCCCTCTTAGGGACTAACAGCTAATAATTGCAGAGTGTTGAAAAGAAATTAGAGTAATATTGTGAAATAAGTTTCCACACACTGCTTGATACTAAGTTGTGTGAATATATTGGCATCACAGTATCCACTGTGAGTCTGTATTGCCCTCACAATATACAAACAAGTATCAAGGTGGAATCCTGTCAGGATAAGTGGTTCAAATAATATGGTGTGATCACCTATACAATAAACCTCACAGGATATAGTCTGATGTTAAAGTGAGAGCCTGTCCAATTGTAAGGCTTGGATAACTGACACAAATAAGGGAGAGAGGTAGCTAACAATAAGTGTGGCAGGGGGAGATAACTAAGCACTCGGTAGATATGTTTGATATATTAGAGCCCTAGCCGCTTGTGCCTTCGAGGGCACCCCTTAACCCAAAAAGCCTAATAGCTCCTAATACTTATCAGCAGTATGCCCACCCCCAAATAATAGTGGATGCGCCCTAGAAATAAAGATATATCGATGCCGATAATGCTCCTAAACGGAACAACCGGGTTCGGAGTTGCCGATAGGTATAAGTTATCCTGTCTGAGTAGCAGGGTAAAAAAAAAAAAAAAAAAAATTTTTTCAGATGCAATATAAAAACACTGATGGTACAGTGGGAAAAAGAGGATAACGCCGGGTACAAGCCCCCTGTATGGTGCAAGAGCATCGGTAAGGGCTGCATCAGGTCGGTGTACACGATTTCGAAGATGACCACCATATGTGCAGGTCTGTGCCTTATCCCTCCCCACACCTCCAGCATGTCATCGGAACTCCCTCATAGTAAAAACCAAAGAAAAAAGTTACCTGCGCTCTCTCCTTAAACTTTTTTCCTTTGGTTTTTACTATATGTATTAGCTGATGTGTACTGTAGTCATTGCTGCCGCCCAGGAGTGATGGGAGTGAGCGCAGGACTTTTCTTTCTGTAATTGGAACTCCCTCATACATGCGTTGAAGTCTGAACTTGATTCTTTATATACATTGTACAGCACTACGGAATTTGCTATATAAACAATAAAATAATTTCAAAAAAATAATAAGCACATGCTTTATTTTACTTACTATGCAATCTGATTTCATTCATTGTTTATAGGGATTGGAGAATCTCCCTATCATTACGTTTATTCAGTAAAGTGAAAGTCCCAAATGTATATATACATAATATATTAAAGTAGCAATTTGGTTTTAGAGCAATGCTCAAATAGCTCACTAAGGTATATAGAATATGGACATATTCAGTAGATATTGCATTGCTTCAAGTAAATTTTACACGTTTGGGGTAATCTCCATTTAGCCTTCAGTAATTCTACAAATTACAACGAGAGACTTGCCGTGATTATTTGCAATTTGATGGCACTATTAATGCTTAGTAAAATTACTTCATAAAATGTTCTTTTTGTACACATATCTGTAACACATCACTTGGTTTTAATTTGTTTTGTTGAAGATGCCTTCAAAAAAATCATTTCAGAAAGAGGACTAGAAAATAATGGTACCATGATGGCTGTGGTGGAGAAAATCTTCAGCAGGCTTCATTATTAAATTGTTTGTATTCTGCATACTATATTCAAAGCTGGATTTTATTGAAAACAAGCTGGATATAATTCTATGCTCTATAAGATTCACAATCTGTTGGTTTAAAAGTACACTGTGAATTATGTGGATTCAAGAGCCTGTCTTATTTATTAGATATTAATATACTTGTGCGTAAACCTCTAAATAGCTGCAGGTCACCCCTAACGAAATGTCTCCAATTAGTAAATCAAAATCTAAAGCACTCTGTTTATTCTTGATGTGTCCCAAAATTCTCTCTTACAATTTGTCTGCAGCTGTGCTGGGCAGAAGAACAAGACGAGCATGTTAGATGGTTGGGGCTTTGTGATGCTGGCCCGATTATGCCTAATAGCACACAAGAGCTGATAGTTTCCCTAGACAAGAAGTCATAACCCCTTCAAACTTGTACCCCAAGTTACCATGGTAACAGAACAGTCTTCCTCCCTAAAGACACACTCCCCTCTTTGTCTTGCTATGAAACATGCTGCTGTATCTGACTGATGGGGGTGAGAGAGAGGACAGGAATTTTGGGATCCCCCTCTGTTTAACAAAAAAATAAAAAAAAAATAAAAAAAAAAGATCCCCAAGAAAGACATGCTGCTGTACTTAAACTAATTCTAGGGGCAGAAAGCATCTTAGAGTCACAGAAGTGGAAGAGGAGCTGGGATACAGATGAACTTTGCATTTTCTTTAAAGCTGAAAGTAAGTAATATAGACTGATGTAGCAGATAGAGATCTTTATAGTAATAATAGAGACTTTATTCAACCCTCCATAATAGTTTCTACTTACACATATTAGTGTCACAATAAATTTGTTCATGATGAATGGTTAAGGCTGAATGTGGGAATTTATATATATATATGTCAGAGATGATGGGGTTATTTAACAAAATGCAGTTTTTTTGTGAATTGAAAAACAAATTGCAACATTCAAACTAAAATAGCCGAGTTGTGGCTGTAGAGAAATATTTCTCAAAGCGGCTATTTTGGCCTAAATTTAGCAGTTCGTTTTTTTTTTGTTTTTTTTAAACACCATTATTTGCAGGCTTATATACTAAAAGGAGAATTCAAAGTGAATTTTAAATTTAAGGTCAAAATTGCCAAACTGAAAAAATTCTCTAAGTCAACGATGCTTTCAGTTTGTCTCCTCTGACCTTAAATTTGAGTTTTAATTTGAATTCTCACCCTGTTGGTGTTTTTGTGAATAAACACGTTTGTGTAGTGCGTGCAAGAATGTATGTGACAATTTTTACATGCATTACAAAATGCCTAGATTCATTTTATGTCCTGTAACATGTTAGGCAAATAAATGGACAGAAAAGGCTACATTTATGAAATCTGGTTTCGATTTCATTTCAACTTTTTATAATGTTAAGACATACATAGACGTAGGCAGGTAATAAGTATAACCCACCAGTCACCACTATGAACATTGCGTAAGAACAGACATTCACAGTCTGATTTACTATAGAGAGAATTCAAAGTAAATTTCAAATTAGAGGGACAAAGGTTTAAAAATAATATCAGGAAGTATTACTTTACTGAGAGGGTAGTGGATGCATGGAATAGCCTTCCAGCTGAAGTGGTAGAGGTTAACACAGTAAAGGAGTTTAAGCATGCGTGGGACAGGCATAAGTCTATCCTAACTATAAGATAAGGCCAGGGACTAATGAAAGTATTTAGAAAATTGGGCAGACTAGATGGGCCGAATGGTTATTATCTGCTGTCACCCTCTATGTTTCTATGTTTCTATGCTGTAATTCATAGCCCTTGGACACGACTTATTATTGGATAGTATTGTTTAATGGATGATAAGCATCTAGTTTTTCTTGAGATGAACATAACAAGAAGGAAAACTAAATAAAGAAATAAGAAAATCATTTTTTTTTAAATGCTAAATGATGAGCGTAATGCATACAGAACCAAGTTACATGCGTAAATTGTTTAAAAACAGGTACACGTGTTACCATGTTCGTTCTTGAACAGATAATAGCATGGGATGTGTTATTTATCAGCCTTGCCAACTCCATCTAGTTCTGCACATTTTTTAGTATCAAGGATTGATCTGTAATTTTGAACAATGTGTTGTTTTAACCGAATTGTCCATCATTGGTCCTTAATGAGTTAAGGGATTTGTTTGACTTATTTTATTAAAGCATATATACTGCGCGGTATAGTAGCTTATCCAGTTAATGAGGAAATCACAGATTATGGACACATTCCTCCTGTTTTATACATAACTTAAAATAGTTTTAACAACTGTCATTGTTGGAGATGCAAAAATGGAAGTACTTTGTAATTAAAGGGCAACAATTCAATACACAAAATGTTTGTCCTAAAAATTGTGTTTCGTTTTTTTATAAATCGCTACAGTTCTGTGTTTACTGAATAAAATGTTTGACATATGAACACCACGGACAGCGCTGTCAGAAAATGCATTACGATAGCAAGATACATTATATAAGGTATAATTTATGCCCTATAAATTATACCTATTGTATAGTATTTATTCTGTCACTTGGAGAACTGGCTGGGGCAAAATAACTCCACCACCATTTCTGGTTATATCAGGGTATTCTCTAACGTTCACACACACTCCAGAGAACAGTAAATTTGGGGAACATTACCTCATTTGGATATTTACCAAAGTCAAAATTTGGGGGATTTTTTGCACATCTCATTTGCTCCAGCCTGGTATCTGGTTTAAAGTCAGAAATTTACAGGTGTGTTTAGAATTTGCATATTTATAAAACACTCAACATTTAGTGAATTCATTGTGATAGAATGCAAGAATACATTTAAAGATTTTTTAAGATTTCCTGTTTGTTCCACACCCTAAAATTGTAAATCTTTGTCCAAAAATATAAAATAATTTGAAAAGCTAATCCAACAATATTAAATTGAAACTATAGTCGGTTTAGTTTTTCAAAACCCATTGTCGCTTTGAAATGGCACATCAGTCAGTCAGATACAATACACCATTGTATCCAAATTCTGCAATTCTAATTCTGTGATTGTGTGCCCATGCCCTTTGTATAAATAGTCATTTTATGGTCGATACCGAGATTAGGATTATATTTAAATTTGGAAAAAAGTTCAATGAAAAACAAGGCTTTGTTCTCAATCTTTTTGGAGTTTGAATGTTTTGCCTGAAGCCCAGTCCCATTATTTAATAATGAAACACTGTGTAACATCACACTGAATCCTTTTTTGAGAAATCTAAGTGGACACTGTCATTTTTCCTTGAAACTTGTTCCAAATTCCTATATCCTTATTCATAGGACAGTTCGTGACCTCTCAGCCAGTGCACGCCTCAGTTCTCCCATATTAACTCTTAGCCTTCCCTATAAAACAGACAACAAATCATACTTGCGGTTTCAAATAAAAAAGCAGCTCCACTCCTTACTCTATTTATCCCATACATCAGAAAATGGGACATGATATATTGATTGAAATAACCCATTGGTTTCATGCTATACACACCATTCCCACCTCTTTAAATGTTAAAGAACCAGTCCCTCTGTCTTAGATTCTTCTTCTTGTCAAAAATGTCCATGTGAACTGTTCTGCCCTTTAAAAATGATGGAGTAATAAAAATGTCTAAAGGATAAGGGCAGACATATGGTTCATTCAGTTCAGTTTAATAATGTAAGTAAACCTCAGGGCATAAGGTTATTTACTCATTTAATAAGCCCCACTCCCCCCAAAGAATGGGGCAGAGACAGCAGCATGTGATGTGTGTAAACTGGTTTTATGGAGGTTATTGGGGCCTCCTGCAATCAAGTGTGAATTCTGAGCCAACTTCATTCTAGCACAATGGCTGTTTTAACATGATAAATAGGACCGTGCAAAAATAATTAAGTCTGTCACATTGACAGTGCTTTTGTTATACCTGCAAATGTATGCTCCAGACTGCACGCTTTTGAGGTTTTCATTCACAATCACTGGAAGATGAATTAAACAATAACAAAATGAAAACCGTATAATTTTTTTTTTTCCTTCCTTTTTTCCCTTCCTTTTACCATACATTGCCTGACTTTCTGTTTGTCATTTGATATAACAAAGTCACAACTCATGAACATGCCATTACTATCATTAAAGCAATCACTGTCTGGGGACGTTGCAGAATTCGCAAAGACTGTGATCTTGCCACTGGGGGTTCAGAGGCCAGGGGGTTGGCAGGTACAGGTGAGATTTACTTACCCGAACCAGTCCCTTGCAGGTGATGTCATCTTCCTCCGACAGCTCCTTTTCAGTGCCAGGAGTCAACGCCACTGCTGTACTGTCACACATGCGTGAGAATAAATAATTGAGGTCTATGGAGAATCCCGCAAGACCACGGGATCCTCTATTGACAGAGCCATTTCCTTGCAGCTGTCCCTGAAGACAAATGTCTAGAAGTGTCATGCGGAGGAAATATACTGAGACAAAGTAATCCCCACTTTATCCAAGTATATCCATCGATTGAGTTGGAATTTCAGTGAAATTCTAGCACAGTAGTCAAAATGAGTATTTTATAAATATTCTAGCTTTAGGAAATACTCACTTCTCAGTGGAAGTGACAATGCCACTTTACAAAAACAAAGCCAAATGATTGCCTGAAGCACCCAACCAATCAAACTGGTGTGTAGACAAGGAATTCCAGTCCATAGGCACACCAATGGTTCACATTTTGCTGGAAACCCCTGTTTAATAAAATAGGGAAATCTAAATCCTAGACCGTTACTGTGCCGTATGGCTTGTGTTTGGAATTACGACTCTTGACTGATGACCAATAAGTTCTTTTTTTGCCCCACTTATTAATTTTCTTTCTTTCTTTCAGTCTGTCCACAAGTGGCAATGAGTGACTCTGATGGTGTAATACTTCTAAACTCATCCAGCTTCTCCTGGGTGGATCCCTGTGTACATGAAACATGGCTGGAGAACATTCTGCTATCGGTTTGCTACATTCTGGGTCTGCTTGTTGGAGGCCTAGGAAATGTCCTTGCTCTTTCGCTGTTTATACGAGATCGACAACCACGATCACCATCAGATATCTTCCTTCTCCACCTCGCCTTGTCTGATCTCTTCCTGCTTCTTAGTTTGCCAACACGGCTCTACTACCACCTGTCTGGCAACAACTGGCCTTTTGGCTCTATGCCATGTCGCCTGTCTGGTTTTGTATTTTACCTAAATATGTATGCCAGTCTCTATTTTCTGGCAGGCATAAGCATTGACCGTTACCTAGCTATTGTGCATCCACTCAACTCCATCAAGTTTCGCAGGCCTCTGCATGCCCATGTGATATGCATACTACTGTGGGCTATCGTGGCTTTTGCTACGGCACCTTTATTGTTAAGTCGCAAGCAAACGATGACAGAAAATGGTTGCCGACTGCTCTACCGTGAAACGCCATCATTGAGAGCACTGACATCACTCAGCGCGGCATTTGCCATCCCTTTCTTGGGAACAGTCACTTGTTATGGACTCATTTTAAAGCGTCTCCGTCAAGGAGGTGACAGAAAACCTAAAGAGCGGGCAGTAAAGATGGTTTTGCTGGTACTTACAATATTTCTGATCTGCTTTGTTCCCTACCATCTAAGCAGGGCACTCTATCACGTGCTGATGCCCGGTGGGGAGGATTCGGCTGCAATATCACCATGTAACTTGCGTCAAGGTCTGGCATTGGCGAACCGATTCACTTCCTGCCTCAGTACCCTAAACGCTGCTCTAGATCCACTGGTGTATTTCTTTGCAGTCAAGAAATTTCGTCAGACACTGCTTCAGCTTCCTTGTAGACGACAGGAAGCGGGGGAACGGAAAAACAGACAGGAAAATCAAACAGAAGATAGCTCTCTGAGTGCCAAGACAGAAGTCTGAGAAGAAATGGGTGAATGGAAACGTAATAATAGGTCACAGGGATTATATAACATTGGCATTAGTAAGGTACAACTTACAAGTGGCAGGTTCCCAAGACAACCATCCCATACTTTATATTGGTGAGTGCATGAAGTATGAGAAACATCAAAGTTCCATTACAAATCTTTAAACATTCTGGGATGGTATTCTCCTGTAGCCCCAACAAACTAAACCCCTTTTGGCATAATCAACAGTATTATGTTCATTATTTTTTTTACATACTTACTCATTCATTCAGATTCTATTATTTCTATAAGTCTCCTAAAACTTGGACACAAATCAAAAATCAGCTGAAGGTTTCTTTATGTTCAAAGTGCAGATTGTATTTAGAAAGTGCATTCAGATTTCTCTCATTTTCAAGTGTCCATGGACTCCTGGACAATAGTGGGAGGGTTATATGTTTAAAACATATGCAAAACAAATCATTAAACATTAGAGGTATGGCAGGATTGTCATTTACAGACATTTCAAACTGGGGAACATTTTGCTGTTTAATATGTTCTGGAAGTTTTTCTAGATTTCTAGAGATTGTATGAGAAGACAGCTCAATCCTTTTTCCTGTTGTAACAGGAATACCAAGGAAATTGTGACAGATGTACCAGAGTTTATAAGATGTTTAAAGAACTGGGGGGAACACACTGCTCAAGTAGTACAGGAGATTTACTGAGAAATTGTTATGGTCATGCAAGAGAGGTAAATAGTATGTGTAGAATGAACCATAGTACTTTTAACATATCATAGTGATGAGTATTGCATTCACGCCGTATCACAAAATGTCGTGCTGGTGGTAGAAATTCTAGACCAATGTATTTTGAGGAGCACTTATACATGGGAATTCTAAGCATTGTCAACTTGCTCCTCATCCTTCTAACAGTACATACATATTATAAAAAAAACCAAAAAGGTTCTGTTGACTGATACACCTAGTAGTACTAAATTCATAGAAAACGAGTTCAATAAATGCTAAAGGTTAGCTGCATTGGTTTACGAAGCGCTGGGATGAAGAAGAGTACAGGCTATAAATGGCAGTTGGAGAGAGAGATTCATTCCAATCAGGGGATTATTGCAGGTTGTCAGTTAAGGGAGGACCAGAGACAGCAGGTCTACTTTTATATGTAAAGCAAGTGGTTTCAGTTCAAAGAGGAGCAATGAAAAGGTAGACCCCCTGATGTTTTCAAACTAGAACACTGTAATGCCTTACCACTCTAAAGGAAATCTTGGTCACTGATGTCTCTATACTAATGCTACATATATGAACTTGGTGGATCTCTCACAATTGTCTTTATTTAAAAACATTAAAAACAGTTAGCTAGATGGTTTATCTATGTTTGGGCATTGTCAAACAATATACAGACAGCTGTACAGGACTATAGCCATAATGTAATGGACCTAATAAATATTATAGTATTTACAGACACATAATATATGACTTTAAAAATAGTTAGATATATAGCAGTAATCATTATAGGGCAGCAATAATGAATTGTTCACACAGGAAAGAAATTATATTGTATAAATAAATAATGTTGTCACTTTTTGGCAGACAGCTGGGCATAATTTCAATTTGGGAGCGTTTAGATCATGGCTGTCCAACCTGCGCCCCCCAGATGTTGCTGAACTACAACTCCCATGATTCCCTGGCTATCTTTTTAATTGAAAGAATCATGGGAGTTGTAGTTCAGCAACATCTGGGGTCCTGCAGGTTGGACAGCCCTCATGTAGATGGTTGCTGTTTTTTTTTTTTATATCCTAAATTACTAAGCTATGTAACACAGGTGTATCAAAAAGAACCTCTGCTGCTGTTGAACTACATTTTTCATAATCCTCCGTAAACCAAGGTTTTACATTGAATCATGGTAGGGTTAGTCCATCAACACTGCAACTATTAACTCTGACGTACTGCATTGTGCAGTTATATATAATAAGTAATAATATTAATGTGAATGTAAAGTGACACGTAAGCTAACATAATAGGCTTTATGCACTAAACAGTGAATTGCAATGAATTTAAAACTGAATTGCAAATACTAGTCTAAAATAGCCAAATGAGGAACAAAAGGCAGAGAAATCTTCTAACCTGTTAATTTGGTCTATATTTTCATTTCATTTTTAATGCACAATTATTCATTGTTTATTAAACAAAGCCCAAAGATTCAATATTAAACTGTTCTAAAGGAACAGATGCATGAAATAATAGGTAGGGGGCAACATAATATCAAATATCAATTTGAGAGATCAGGAATAGTGGAAACACTGTGTGCCCACATGGAGCAAATCTTTGTAACGATTGCTTTCCTTATAACATGGCACCATTTGGGTAAGCTGTGTTTCTATGCAAAAATGACATGAATAGCGAAGATCTGGTCTTTGGAGAAGAGACAACTACCTGTATTAGACTCTGTACATATGTATATGTATGTGGTTATTGGTGGTGTATACATTAAAGTAAATTTTGTTGATGTGACGAGCTATTTTGTTTTAAAAAATTGCAAAAATATATATTTTGACATTCTTGTAATAACTGAATTGCCATTAAAACGGTCACAAATGTAACAAGGATATGTTTATATTGGGATTCATGGCAACAGTGTACAGGCACAAAATAAATCCAACTTAAGTGTGGCAAAATAAGGCGCTTGGTGATAATAATGAAATAGGTATGGTGAAAAGCAGCTGAGTAACACTCCGTGGTTATCCCCAAAAATCTAGAACTAGAACTTAATTGTTAGGTGATCTACCCCACCACCACCTAAACCATGTAAGTGAAAAGTGCAGAGGATTTCAGGGGATTGCTTTCCACATACATGTAACTAAAAGATAATACAAGATAACATAATATTGTTTACAATTCCTACATTTAAAATGTGTGGTGTATGCACATGAAACTCACATTTGTTGGAGCCTTTTAAAGATATAGGCTCTAAACAAAACAGCTTCCAAGCCTTTAAATTGGTTTCAACATCAACCTTCTTTTAGGACCAGACTGGTAGAATCTGGGTGCAGTCAATATTTACACCCAGATCATCATCTTCGCCAATGGAGCTTTCTCAAGTGGTGTCTATCGGCGAGACGCATCTTGGAGAAGATTGAACATAACAGAGGAAAGGATTGTTCAGTTTTAATATGTTTTATTTGTTTCAATTTTAATACGTTATTTTTATGTAAACCTACATAAATCCCTTTTGTTCATCACTGAAGAAATCTTCCCAGTCCATTCCTTGAAGCACTTGTGTTCTTCCTGGTTTTTAAAGGGGGTGTCACCCTACAATTTGACACCAAGCTGTAAAGTTTGGAGTCCATTATTTAATAGACTCCAGAAAAGGTAAGCAATTTTATATGATTTTTGGGGTATTTACTCACCTATAAATATTGATTGCACTCAGGTTCTTTGCTTTTTTTCTTCTATATGCATTAACTGTGAAGAACATTTCTACTAATATTGTAAAGCGCTACGGAATCTGTTGGCGCTATATAAATGGCAATAATAATAATAATAATAATAATAATAATAATAATAATAATAATACCAGTCTGGTCCTAAAAGAAGGTTGATGTTACCACCTATTTAAAGGCATGGAAGCTGTTTTGTTTAGAGCCTATATCTTTAAAAGGCTCTAACAAATGTGAGTTTTATGTGCATACACCACACATTTTAAACAATATTACGCTATCTTGTATTATATTTTACTTACATGTATGTGGAAAACAATCCCCTGAAATCTTGAGGGGTAAGTTGTATAAAAAATGTCTTAGCGCTACACTTTTTACTTAAATGGTTTAAGTGGTGGGGTAGATCAGCTAACCATTAAGTTCCAGTGTCCCAAGTGTACAAGTACACCCTAAAAAAGTAAAACCTCTACTATGGCAAGATTTAATACAAGAACCACTGGGTGTTTGGCACAATGGCTTGGGGTAACTGCAGGACTAAAGTACTAGAAAGGGAAAAAACAGGATTGTCTGTAAAACAGGGAGAAAGGTGCAGCTGACCAGGCACCCATGATCTGCAGGGTCCAACAGCAACTGCACCATGTGCTCTTTATAGACTATACCACAAATCGTATCAGTGTCATTACAATGTGGGCTTCAAGCAAACAACTTTGACCCACAACCTCACTGCATGTTTGATGCAGAGCTTAAAGTAGTCTCTGCATCAACTCTGCCTCAATAGTGTGACATCCCATTCCCTTACCATTTGGTCAGCTGTGCTGTTACAGTATTATATGAAATTTAAAGGACCACTCTAGGCACCCAGACCACTTCAGCCTAATGAAGTGGTCTGGGTGCCAGGTCCAGCTAGGGTTAACCCATTTTTTCATAAACATAGCAGTTTCAGAGAAACTGCTATGTTTATGAATGGGTTAAGCCTTCCCCTATTTCCTCTAGTGGCTGTCTCATTGACAACCGCTAGAGACGCTTGCGTGCTTCTCACTGTTATTTTCACAGTGAGAGCACGCCAGCGTCCAAAGGAAAGCATTATGAATGCTTTCCTATGTGACCGGCTGAATGCACGCGCAGCTCTTGCCGCGCGTGCGCATTCAGCCAACGGGAAGGAGAAGAGGAGGATCGGAGGAGGAGAGCTCTCCGCCCAGCGCTGGAAAAAGGTAAGTTTTTACCCCTTGCCAGAGCCCGGCGGGAGGGGGTTCCTGAGGGTGGGGGCACCCTCAGGGTACTATAGTGGTCCTTTAAGGAAAAGCTCCACTGAATTGACAGAAGAGTTGATTGGCAGGTTGGCATTAGTTTTCAATAATCACCAGACACAAGTGAGTTATCAAGGCCAGCACATCCTTTCACTGATTAAGAAGCAAAAAAATTAAAATAAGTGTTGGATGGCATCTCAACTTAAAATTCCAACTCATGTGTTTCTCTTTTCTGTCCGTATATCCTCGAGTACCTGCCTGGATATGTTTATCTATAAAGGTGTGTTTAAACATCCATGTGTATCTTTGTCTGTGAGTGTGCGCTTACAAGTTTGCATGTCTGAACCACCCGAACTACAAGAAAAAGAACAGAAAAAAGACAAAACAAATAAAAATATATTGAAAAAAAACACCATTCTTTGCCGTGGAAACTGGACTGGCCAGGCAATTTGTATAAGGCTCAAAGAAATCCAAGTTTATCAACAGTGCACCTGTCATATATATTCAACTAACCAAAACCAAGTACTCCATCAAATCCTGGAAAAGCTGCAGTGGTTGTCTAAACCAGAATCTGTCAGTTATAAAACTAGTAATGTAACTTAATAAGACACTTAAATATGGACAACACATGTGAAACAAAACCATATCCTTTATTGCAGTTGATAAACCATACAACAGTTCATTGATTATATTGAAACCAGTCTTATGTTCTAACTGTACAAACATGACTCTCCCCACCTCAATAATGTTTTCTTCGTTTGATATTGCACTGTGCTTATTGTGGTTTTCTTGTTTCCATTGCTCATTCCTTCATGCAGCTTCTTTCTTCTGATATTGCACATTCTTCTCTACCGGTTTCTCTTCCCCCTACCCCCAGCTCCATTCATTTGTCCCCTATCATAGTAACTAAATATTTTTAATCCAAAATGCCTAGTGTGGGAAACAGCTGTTAGTACGTGCTTTAGGCACAGAGATGGCGATCACAGCTGTTTTGCATGGGCAAAAGCTATATAGTATATAATGTTATACAATACTCATGGCACTCTTTACACCACCTGGAAAGTCAAGAGGGCACTGAAAATAGCCTGTCAGCAGAACATGCAGAGGCCACCCGCAGGAAGCAATGTTACTTAAACTGTTCAGATGTAGGTATAACTGTCTAATGTAATCATCACCTGTATAACTTCTTACCTTCATGTGTCTTTCCACTGAATTTAGTAATTGCATTTTCGATCTCCATTCATTTTAGTAAAAGCAAGAGGAGATTGGTTGAAGACCTGGAGAGACAAAGAGAATCTTATTAGATTTTAATTCACATGTACAGCTCTTTTTGAACCAACACCAAACCATGAAACATAAATAAATAACTCACCTGCAGATTCCAGTATATTGCAGAAGTCTTGATTGCCATGCCAGAATTCTAAACACGTTGATATATACATAATAATGTATCGAAAATTGGAAAACCAAAAAACTAAAGTGGTTACTTTAATCGCTCAAGGAATAAGATTTCAGCAGGTGTAGACAAATGTAATAAGCCCAAAATGGCGGTTCTAATAAGTATCATTATCTAACCAATCTCACAGTCACCACTCAATGCTAGAATCTTTTTTTTTTTTTAGCCCATTTTGTTTCCATATGTCATACTCCTTTTTCAAACTGCTCTTTGCAGTGACCATCCCTGAGCCCAGAATGGCATTAACTTCGGCTTAGATCAAGAAATAATATTGAAAGTGTCTAAATCACATTTCCCTAAAAAGTGACACAAAGTCATGTTTTGTGCGAGAGGTAAACTTTTAGAGTGAGATTTTGATACTTCTAAATGAGTCAGAATGAACCTTTTCTGGATGATTTAAAAAAATAAAATATATATCCATAGTTTACTTTATTAGTTTAATCCTGGCCTAATTGACAACATGTAAGAGCTATTCATTTGTGATGCTGCCATGGAAACCATCCCATCATCGTAGAGGTAATTAAAATCGGTAATACTGTAAACAAGGCATTTCCGAGAGAGAGAGATATTTAAAATAGCAAAGAACAGTAATGTATTCAGACACCTGGTGAATTATGTAAATAATAAAGTAATTGTTACTTATGTCTAAAACCATACTAAGAGCAACAAAAATAAGAGATCGAAATTGTGAATCTGTTACAGAAGCCCATCAGACAACTAAAAGGAAACAGATAGCTGGTTTCAGATATATATGTAAATTATTTCCTTAGCTGGATTGAACTTTGCTTGAGTTTTAAGGAGGCAGAGGTGAGAGGAATTTCTATAAATTATAGTTTCTAGTATTCTGAAACCAGGCAGAGATGTAAATTAGGTAAGACTGAAATTCATAAGAAGCAATGTAGGCCTGTACAGAGCTTTTTGTGTAAAGGTTTTAGGTCCAGGACTCTGTATCAGAATGATTTACAGTAAGTAACACTAAAATAAAATCAACAGGACAAAGCAAGGCCAGGTACCCCCAGCCCAGACATGAAAGCAATTATTTGATGACAGAGTGTTAAAAAGCAGGTGGTCACTGGTTGCTAAATAGCACATCCAACTTACCAGTAAACATGCGTGCTATACTTTGGATTATATATGGGGAAATGAGAATGCACACAAACATGAAGAAAAGCCAAGTGCCACCACTCAAGAGAAGCTCTTCTCCATAGCAATCCACAAATACTTTATACCACAGTAACACTGCCTGACATTATATCCAGTTTGTGTCTGGTCTTTGTCGGTTTTGTGGAATTATTTGTATTATACATATATGTCTCTCTACAGAGCCGGTCAGCATTCTCTTCTTTATTAACCAATAAAAAATAAACACAGATTGTCAACCTAGTCTTGGTGAATATGAAACCAAATTAGAATAACCGACTCTTTCAGTAACTGTAAGAGTCTATACAGCTGCTTGAGGTACGTGAGCCTGCCATTCTAGGTTTACTAAACTAGCCTATCATAAAGGCATAGAATGCAATTGATCTTTTAACAGACTGATGAGGAATAATGATCAGCCTGTTAAAAGTGATATAATTGGCTAAATCTGTTAATCTTTGCTTGGTGGCTCAAACTATATATCTAAAAAAAATTTTTTAACAAAATGAGTTTTGTGTTTGCTCACACCATGAATTGGAAAGGCTTTATGTAGATGCCATCATATTGTATTTTCAACTTTTATGAACCCCAAGATTAAAAAGTTTTGTTTTTTTAATGTAATTTAATCTGTGTGTTCAGCTGCTCTTCTTATGCTTTAAGACAGTCACTTACATGTGTTAGACTCTGTGTAGCTGGCTAAAGGTGTGACAGTGTAGCAAATGTAGTTGTATAAAACAATGTGAATGCAGTGATCACTATTTAAAAAACAGAATGATAGCTTCTCTAATTAAACAGTAAAATTAAACTAACCTTAGCATAAAATAATCTATGTATTATTTTGAATATCAATTTTTCTTTATGGGTTTAGTATTAAAAGACCACTCTAGGCACCCAGACCACTTCAGCTTAATGAAGTGGTCTGGGTTCCAGGTCCATCTAGGATTAACCCTTTTTTAAAAAAAATAAACATAGCAATTTCAGAGAAACTGCTATGTTTATAAATGGGTTAATCCAGCCTCTAAAGCCTCTAGTGGCTCTCTCATTGACAACCGCTAGAGGCGTTTGCGTGCTTCTCACTGTGAAAATCACAGTGAGAAGACGCCAGCATCCATAGGAAAGCATTGTAAATGCTTTCCTATGAGACCGGCTGAATGCGCGCGCAGCTCCTGCAGCGCATGCGCATTCAGCCGAAGAGGAGGATCGGAGGCGGAGAGCTCCCAGCCCGGCGCTGGAAAAAATGTAAGTTTAACCCCTTTCCTCGCCATCCAGCCCGGCGGGAGGGGGTCCCTGAGGGTGGAGGCACCCTCAGGGCACTATAGTGCCAGGAAAATAAGTATGTTTTCCTGGCACTATAGTGGTCCTTTAATAAACCCAGTGCCTAAATGTCTACATTTTGTGCTTGGAAAATGTGCTTGCACATGTAGAGGAACATACACGTGGTTACTTCAAGTGGTTGCTTTTGTGAGAATACATTTTCTATTCCAGAGATCACTGCAGAGATTACACTCTGGTTCTGTCTATAGCATAACATATTAAAGTAGTTGCAAGTAGTGATTCAAATAATATGCTTTAAAAATAAATAAATCCATCAATGAATGACTGCAGTAAAGTAGGCAAGTCTAGATCCCAGCTAGAGTAGTGGAATGCTCAACAGATTACCTTTATCGAACATACTGTTCCTGTGGTTCTAGACTAAAAGGAGAGAAACTGCTTTTCGATCATTGCTGAGTATCATGGGACTGGTAGTTCTACCAAAGCTTTTAAAATATTTGCTGGTACACCTACATCAAAAGCCCATTTGATTAAATCAAGACATGCCGCCCTATGTGTAATCCTGTTCATAATACATTTCTGCAAGTGTAAGATTGAAACAAGATATAATCTGGATTCAGGAACAGTCCCTTGTGTTCCCAAGACCTATTTTATCTTAACAGGTTATCGGAGACAATAAGATATGTAACGTTTTCAGAAACATGAACAGATTTAACAAACAAAGAGGAAAGCATCTTTCATAGAATATAGAAACATGCACAAGTCTGTAAATATCTTTACACCAGGTTTGAAAAGCTGTGTCCATCTGCTCCCATCTGTCAATAACCTTTATGTACAGAATACAACATTAATCCGAGAGGTATGAGAAGGCAGACAGTGAACTTTTATGGTACGAGGCAGATAAACAGTCTGGAGAGCACATAATGTATTTCCCAAAAAGTATTTTCAACTTTTATGAACCTCAAGATTAAAGGTTTTGTTTTTTTAATGTAATTTAATCTGTGTGTTCAGCTGCTCTTCTTATGCTTTAAGACAGTCACTTACAAACAGCAGCTTTTATGAATATCAAGGAGAAGAGTGAGTGAAAGGCATAGGAAATAAAAAGTCATACTCTGTATTGCATACTTTTGCAGTGTGTTAATATCAGATGCGTTGGCTGCAAACATAATATTCTGACCTAAAATCCAGGAATTCTCTCATATATACACACAACAGGAACTTTCGTATCCAGAATGTAAAACAAGTTCTAGAAGACTTTCATTTGTTATTTCTTGAGCAAATTACATTCGGCATTGCATACAAAAAGAAACAAAAAACAACTCAATTCCTGACAAACTGTACAGATTTTTTTTTCATAACATATCCCCAAAAGTTTAGGGATGTACAGTGCATGTCAGCACTGTAATACCAGTGAGGGGGGAAAATTACTGAAATGAAAAAGGAAAACAAAAAAAGGTTGTGTTATTTTGTTTTCCATCAAGGATTCGGTCTTCTTAAGATGAACGATGCTTCAATTTCCATGGCTGTTGTACAGAAGCTTAGAACCATAAACAAAAAATGTCTTTACAGTTTGGATACTGTTCTGTAGTCTCTTAAAGTTTTAATATATTTGGTCCAATATGGACTTGTGGAAAGAGACTGTTCGAGTACTGGTTAGGATTTCCTACCGACTCCTTCCACCTCCACTACTGCTCCCACTAGACCTAGGACCTCCTCGCCATGACTGGTTGGAGTTCATAGTGCTGTTTGTTCCAGAGCCTCCCCTGCTCCAGTTTCCTGACCCTCGCCCTGCCCTCGAACTCTCATCCTGCTCCTGTGAGCTGGAGCGGTTGGGCCTTTGTGATCTTGAAGAATGAGCTGAGCTCTCACGACCTGTGTCAAAAAGGAAAAGTGAATGACATTAGAATAAAAGAGGAAAACCAGTACTCTGACATATAATAAATGTAGCATAATGATTTTGCATTAAAAAAACATACAAAAAAAACCCTAAATGTTTTAAAGAGATTTGAGCCTGCTAGAAAACATTTGAACTTGAGTCTTTAGTATATACGGTCAATACAGCTTAAAATTTGTAGTTCTAAGCTACTTGCCAGGCCTTTGAAAAGTTACTCGCCCCTGCAAACCATAGTATGCTCACCAGAGGTGAGCTCAACAGCCAAACTCACCTTTTCCAGTTTCTTCAGGTACACCTAAAGCTGCATCTATATCTCTGTGGTCAGGAGTTCCCGGCCCGTCATGCCAGGGCCTCTTGCGTGGTGGAAGAGAAGCCATATCCATCCCCTGTAATGAGGATGAACGTTCCCTACTAGCTGGAGAGTGACTTTCTGGAGTGGGAATATCCCGACGAGGGCTCTCGTGAAAGTGTTCTGTTCCTGTATGGGGATGAGAAGAAAATTAATATTCTATATATTCTACCTATAAAGTATTTCATAACAATACAAGAAAGTTAGGTAAGACAACTAAAGGATAGTTACAAGTTGTATGTAGACAATATAAAAAATGTTTTAAAAGTGAGGACACAAAATGGTGACATGAAGGTCTATCGCTCTTGCATTTCTTACAAACCTGCTTTAAAGGAATATTCTGGGCACCACCACAACTAAATATATTTGACAGTTTTTGCTAAGAGGAAAGGAGGCAGATCATAGATTGTAAGCCTGTTTGAGCATGGCTTTATTCACCATTTGTCTCTGTCAATTACTTGTTATCAAATATTCCCTTTCTAAAGTTGTAAAGCCCTGCATGAAATGTTGGAGCTATATAAACAGAACTAATAATAAGAGGATGGAGATTGACTGTGGAGTGAAATTGTCAGCAACTTATTTTGTACTGATCTCTCATGACAATCTGTACATACTCAGATTCCATCTAATTTAGATGTTTTGTGGAAAGAGAAGGTATGGTAAAGAGCACGGAGTACACCACAGTCAAAAAACTGAAGTGATTTGAATGTGGAGTAAAATACATCAATACCATGGGGCCTGAGCCAATTACAATTACATTGGGTTGGTGCCTGGAATGTGCCAAAACACTCATGCTTCAACATAAATGAGTTTGATTGTTACAGGGAAGGGAGTAGAAGAATATTGTAGGAATAAAAATGCTGTGTTAGTGGTACACTACTTGGAAAAAATAAAATCCAGAGAACTGTTAGCAGACATGGTAAAAAGTTTCACAAAAGATTTCAATAGCTGGAACCACACGTAGGAGAGGCTGCAATACACAGATTAACCTCCTCAAGTGAAGCTGCAAAATTTATAGTGAAATACATACCAGTTTCTCTACCAGGATCCCGAGTCTGGTGATTTGGCCCACGGTCAGAACCAGCGAACTGTTCTGGGGTGGGGAGGAGACCCTTTCGTCCTTCTGCAATGCAACATTGATAAAATTAAGCATGTTCTTACATGTTTTCTATAACTTAAAAGATAAATGTCATAATATGGCAGAGTACTCCTGTAATAATATAGATGAGCAGTCAGTAAGAAAAGTATTTATAACCCTGGGAGAAAGTTAAATGCACAGATATTTTGCTAAACTCTCAAATGTGACCTTAAAGTAACACTTTGTCTAAAATCCGTCCTGCGGGAAAAACATGTGCATTCAGACAAAGACCCAAAAGAGGAAACAGATCGGGACAAAAATCAGGCAGATTTATTAAATTGTGCTAAATTGTCCCTCTGTTACTTTACTTCCCCCCCCCTGCCATTCACACGCTACCTATATTCTTTAACCAATTCTTTTTGTGTGTGTTTGGAATGTCCCTTCAAATTTCAATTTAAAAAAAATTTAGGTTTTCTAAAATCTTTGACCAGAAGTGTATACAATCACTCTCCTAACAGCTGGGTATATGCTAGGGCACTCCAAACTTGTATTCTTATGGAAATAGCCAACACACCAAATAACAATATCACTATGGAGATCACAGAAGTGATAAGGATTTATGACATAAGTCTGGAGCCTGATGGCTATTCTGTAATATACTAAAATATGTTCCATTTGATCCTCGTCCCACACTTCGTAAAGATGTTAAAAGACAAACTGTCACTTACTGAGAAGTGACCATTCCTTTGTTCCTCTGCCCTGTCAAATGGCTAACTAGAAGTTGGGAGAGCTAAAATGGTTTCAAAATGTTTTAGTTTCATTTATTTTAATTTACATACTTTGCCAGTGCTGCTGTAATAGTGTTTACTGGACTGAGGTAACAAAAAACGTTAACTTCTCTGGAAGAGACAGTTGCTTTTTAAGGTATTTTAAATAGGTTTTTTAATTAACAATTTGCTGGGCTTTTTATTACGTTTTTGTTATTGCACAATTTTAAAACCAGTATTATACAGTTAGAAAATGAGAAGTCAATCGGGAATGGAACAACTATTGCATGTTAGTAAACTTCAAAGCAATAAACAAATAATACACACATATACACACCCACACAAAACAAACTACCCCCAAAAATTTCAGCAACACTTTTACTAATGTGCAGTGACTCTGCTTACATATACAAGTATGACGAAATGAAATATAGTTAGTTGCTCTAAATTAGATGCAAGGCAATGCTTCTCACCTCTCTGAGTGGCACGTCCACGCCCCCTACTTGCATCTCGCCCTCTTATAGAATCATCCTTTGAATCAAAATTTTCCTCTGGTGGAAATTCCTCAGCATTGGAAAAGTTCTCTCTTCCTCGTGAACCACGGCCTTCGTGTCTTTGAGGACCAGCTCTGCGAAAACTAAAAATTCAAGAAATAAATGCACATTCTGAGTGATTTGTAAATTAATTTAAACACAAGGTAATATTAAAGAATAAACACAGGCATTGCGTTGAGACAGTGCAAAGTACAATGCACACAAATCTGACCAGCAAATGTGGCATATTATTAGTAGCCTGACTATGGTCAGAAGTTGGCATACCTTACACAATACTATTAGACAAAATTTTAACCAAATTTGTTTTCATTTTCATTTCAAAAACACAATTCTAAACTACATATACCTAGGAAAAACGGGGAAATACACGTGTCAGTGTAAACTTTGTTAAGTCCCCTAGAGAATAAATACATATTCTGAATGGAGCTCTTAATCACTCTACTGACCTTTCATCTCTCTGTCCACGAAACCTCATATCTTCAGAGTCTCTGGAATATCTCTCCTCTGAGTGTCTCCTCCCTTCCCATCTGCTGGAATCTCTATCCCGTTCTGGAAAATCTCTATGGTTTGAAGGATATGGCTGGCTAGATCCTCCACGTCTCCACTTATCATCCTGCGATGCATGGCCACCTCCTCTTCCATCAAATTCTCTACGAGGACCATAACGATCATCTGGGTGATAATCGTCTGGGTGCTCATGTGGATCAGAATGAGTTCCACGTCTATCAGGATGTCCTCTATTATCACGTGAATCACTCCACTCTTGTCCACCTCTGAACGGGCCACGCTCAGGACTTGGCTCACGTCTCCTTTCTGACTGATGGGTTACTGGTCCACGAATATCACCTGTTTTTTTAGAATATTTTTTTTTAAGTAATGATTAGAGGCAGGTAAATCATGGATCACAAACATACTGAAGAAACTCATTTTTTTTAAATTTACCGGTAACTTATAAACAGCAAATAAGGCTACATGAAATGAGAGCATCGCAATTTATCAACAAATAGAATTTTAGTTGGCACAATTATGTTCGCCAAGTAATAAAAGCATATATTACAAACCATTCTTGGGGTAAATCCGATTTAAAAAAATAAAAATGTGTATATTAAGATTTTGGTATAGCGCGCCAAACATAACGGCATGTTAACACGGTTTGAAGTAAGCACTAATTTTTTTTTCTATACATCACCAAGTTTATTTTATCAATTGTGCACATAACTTACAGCAATATCATGCAAGTTTAAGAACAGCTGCACAACGGTTATTTAAAAAAAAAATAAAAAAAATGAAACCTGTTCACTAATTGTGTTAATGAGAATATATGTGAGAATATATTGTGGGGTTAGAACACATAAAATTCTCCTTTAATTTATCAATGGTTACATAAGTCTTTCACATCACGAGATGCTTGGTTTCTAACGGGCTAACTTTGGTATTATCAGCTATTGACAAAACATGTTCTAGGTAGTACAGCCAATATGCACCTTTGTTAGGACTAGGCCCTTGGTTCAGTGGTGGTACACGTCCTTGTGGGCCTTGCTGTCCCGCTAAACCAGGGAGTAGAGGAGTTGGGGCCTGGCCTTTACCAACCTGCTGATGGAAACAAGTAATAAAAGAGAAATATTAAGCTTTAAAAAAAAAAACAACCTTAAGAATAATTACAAATGTACTAATAGAATCACAATGCTTTGGGTCCCATTGCTTCCCACCCAGTCATGTCCTGCAAGAGAAGCCAGATGTCATCACCAAGCCAAGACTCATGCTCACAAACAATGACAAAAACCCTGCACAGTCATGCTTTGCTCAGTAGAGCTAACCAGATTCTCCTGCAAGGAATGCATATGGCTGCGAGGCTTTGACAACATCCAGGTAAGTTGTCAAACTGTTCTAAAAAGTAAATCTACAACCTACAACAGACAGATAAAGATTTTACACATTATGTATCTGATAAGATCAGCTCAAAATGAAAGAAAATTACATCACAGGCTAGAAAACATCAACAGAGGAGTATTCTGCTGAAGGGAGAACTTGGCTTTGGTGCTGGAACCAAGGTAAGCTTGTGCTTTAGTTTTTTTTAAAGGAACACTCCAAATATATTTGTTATGATGCTAAGAGATCCCTGGCCCAGCATTTCCTTTAGGGGTTGGACTTTTCACAAATGTTTTAACACCAAAATCTCCACACGAGCACCACTCTGCACACTCCAACAACCGTGGACAGCTGCTGCTCTAAGCCAATCAGTAGCTCCCCATTCACAAAACGTCTTGAGAAAACTAAATACATTTCTAAAAACATTTTTTTATGAATGGGGGCTAGGGAGCTACTGGCCCCTTTAAGTGGATGGGGAAAAGGACTCCGAGGTGAGCAGGATAGGGTAATTCTAACCAAAAACCCAGTTTTATTAAAAAACACTGTTAAAGAAACTATTTACGCTATATATTCTGCAACAATAAATATAAAGTATAGCCTCTCTTTACAAAATCAATTGAAATTAAGGGCATATTCCTCTAAAATACAAGCCTATGCCAAATCAAAACTGATCTAACAATGTATTCAAATTCAGCAGTCCTTATAAAAATATATAATGATGCAAAAGGAATACATCATTTAGTTAACCATATTAAGGAAGTATATGAAATAGTGCCTTCACATTTAAAAATGATTACCACTAACCATGCTCTTTCTAGAATTGGAAAGCGCTGCAGAACATGTTAGAGCTATATAAATGCTAATAATAATAATAATGACATGCCAATGTATTCACCATCTACATCACAATTTTAATCAGTTTGCAGTCTGAGTGTAATGCGTTTGATCGGCAGGGAACAGCATGCAGAAGCTGCAATATAAGAGTTAGGTCTTTGTAAGCTGGGAAATACTGCTGCCGATTCCAGTGCTAATGTCAACAGAGGAAATCCCTCTACATTAGTGTTGGAGAAGGGCAAATTTGAATGTTTACGGTTGTGGATAGTGTAGGGTTAAGGCTAGGGTAGGTGTACGGTTAGAATTAGTGTACCCATAGGATTAGGGGTAGGATTGGTATAGAGTCAGCATTAAATACCCAGATTTATGAGGCAAAAAACAAGCAGAACTCGGATCTATTCTGAGTTCTTTTTCTTTAGTTGCACTTTATGTGCCCATTTTCTCCATTTTATTCACACTTAATGAGAAGTTAGGTATACTTATACAATACTAAGAAAACCATAGTTTAAATTCTAGGTTTTGTTTTGGTTCAGAAGACAAATCAGCTCAGTGGAAATCTGCCTCCATCCTCAAGAAGTTATACTGAATAAACATTTATTATTTTTAGTTCCTATTGATATAAATTGCAGTTACCTGGTTAAATGGCCTGGGACCATCTCCCAGTAATGGAGCCTTTTGAGGCGGTGGCTGGGCTGCTCTAGGTGGGTTCTGTTGACTATGAGGTACTTGTGGGTTTCCTTGAGATCCAGATGGTCCCCGGATATCTTGAGATGCTCCTCTATTTTGAGATCCTCTTACATCCTGAGGACCCCTAATTTCTCCCATGTCAGGAGGGGCTCTCAAATCAGAAAGGTGCATATCTTGAGGAGCTCTCAATTCTTGTATATCAGAGGGACCCCTCATATTCTGAGGACCCCGCATTTCATGAGTACCCCTCATGTCACTCGGTCTTCTCAAATCTTGTTGTCCACGCATATCAGGATGTACCCTCATATCCTGAGGGCCTCGCATATCTGAAGGTCCCCTAATATCAGGGGGGCCTCTCATATCTTGTGCATTACGCATATCAGGCGGGCCTCTCATATCCTGAGGACCACGTATATCAGACTGTCCTCTCATATCTGGTGGACCTCGCATGTCAGGAGGGCCTCTCATATCCTGGGGTCCACGCATATCTGAATGTCCCCTCATATCTTGAGGACCACGAAGTTCCGGAGCACCTCTCATATCCTGTTGACCACGCATGTCTGGAGGACCTCGCATATCTTGAGGCCCACGCATCTCAGGAGGACCTCGCATGTCTGGAGGACCCCTTATATCGTGGGGACCACGCATCTCCGGGGGACCGCGCATATCATGAGGACCACGAGTATCTGGAGGACCCCTCATATCCTGAGGGCCGCGCATATCTGGAGGACCTCTCATGTCCTGAGGGCCGCGCATATCTGGGGGACCACGCATGTCCAAGGGACCCCTCATGTCCTGAGGGCCACGCATGTCCGGGGGACCCCTCATGTCTTGAGGGCCACGCATGTCCGGGGGACCCCTCATGTCTTGAGGGCCACGCATGTCTGGGGGACCCCTCATGTCCTGAGGGCCACGCATGTCCGGGGGACCCCTCATGTCCTGAGGGCCACGCATGTCCGGGGGACCCCTCATGTCCTGAGGGCCACGCATGTCGGGGGGACCCCTCATTTCCTGAGGGCCACGCATGTCGGGGGGACCCCTCATTTCCTGAGGGCCACGCATGTCGGGGGGACCCCTCATGTCCTGCGGGCCACGCATGTCCGGAGGACCCCTCATGTCCTGCGGGCCACGCATGTCTGGAGGACCCCTCATGTCCATGGGAGCTCGCATTTCGGGAGGACCTCTCATATCCTGATGGCCACGTATGTCCATCTGTCCTCTCATATCCTGAGGGCCACGTAAATCAGGTCCTCCACCTCTCATATCCTGCAAACCACGCATATCTGGTGGACCTCTAATATCTTGGATGCCATGCATGTCGGAGGGACCTCTCATATCTTGTGGTCCATGCATTTCTGAGGGACCCCTCATTTCCATGGGTCCACGTAGATCTGGTCCATGTCCAACCATTGCACCTGCAGGTCCTCTCATATCTTGTGCAGAGTGACCCATTAGCATACCTTGACTAGGACCTTGATTGTCTCTAAGTCCATGAGGCATTTGAGCTCTTGGAGTAACACCCATAAGTGGTGCTTGCGGGCCTGGTGCTCCCTGCATGCCATGGTGAGGAGCCACACCCTGGATTCCTCTAGGACCTGGAGGCCCTTGAGCTCCCAAGTGACCTTGTGGCACTGTATTTTGTAGAGGACCTTGGGGAACAATAGATCCATGTGGAGCTGGAGGTCTGGGTAACCCAGGATGCATTTCTTGAGGTCTTAGACCTTGTGGACCTGGGCCCATGAAACCTTGCGGGCCTGTAGGCCCCTGAGGTCGGAATTGTCCTTGAGGACCATGTGGCATGTTCACTGACATCTGTTGGGAGGGAGGAGGTTGCTGGAATGCCTGGGGTGGCTGGGTTTGTGGTCCTGTGCCCTGGAATGCTGAGGGCACATGGGGTGGCACTGCCAATGGAGAAGGAAGGCCTTGAGCTTGCCCTGGAACATCTTGCTTCTGGGCTATTCTTTCAATCTTTAGTTGCTGGAAATGAAAGAAATAATACGCTATGGTGAGATTACAAATATAGATAAACAAAAGTTATTAATATAATACAGATGGTATTTATAACATCACATGTTATATGAAAAAAATAACATTGAATCTTTGACTTAAATAGAAAACAAAAATGTCATGAAAATGGAAAAAGGAGGAGATAAAATTACCAACAAAAGAAAAATGGGAAGAATTGTTACAGACAAAGTGGGCCTCTTATTTGTTGGTAATTATGATTCTTTGTACAATATTTTTATTAAAAATGTACTTAAAGGACCACTATAGTGACAGGAAAACACTCTCGTTTTCCTGGCACTATAGTGCCCTGAAGGTGCCCCCACCCTCAGGGTCCCCCTCCTGCCCGGCTCTGGAAGGGGGTAAAAACTTACCTTTTTCCGGCGCTGGGCGGGGAGCTCTCCTCCTCCGTTCCTCCCCATCGGCTGAATGCGCGCGCATTCAGCCGGTCGCATAGGAAAGCATTATCAATGCTTTTCTATGGATGCTTGCGTGCTCTCACTGTGATTTTCACAGTGAGAATCACGCATGCGCCTCTAGCGGCTGTCAATGAGACAGCCACTAGAGGCTTTGGGGGAAGGCTTAGCCCATTCATAAACATAGCAGTTGGTTATGGCACCCAGACCACTTCATTAAGCTGAAGTGGTCTGGGTGCCTAGAGTGGTCCTTTAAAGGGACACTATAGTCACCCAGACCACTTCAGCTCAATGAAGTGGTCTGGGTGTCAGGTACCTCAGGTTTTAACCCTTCAGATGCAAACATAGCAGTTAAGACAGCCTCTAGTGGCTGTCTTCCGGACAGCCACTTGAGGCGCATCTGCGATGACTAGAGGCGCATATGCCTCCATCACGCAGAGCGGCCATAGGAAAGCATTGAAAAATGCTTTCCTATTGAAAGCTTGAATGCGCCGACGTCAGCGGGGGAGGAGAGGTCACCAGCACCGAGGGAGCCCGGCGCTGGAAAAAGGTAAGCTGCTGAAGGGGTTTTAACCTCTTCAGCCCAGCGGGAGGAAGACCCTGAGGGTGGGAGCACCCTCAGGGCACTATAGTGTCAGGAAAACCGCTTAGTTTTCCTGACATTATAGTGATCCTTTCATTTAAATGACATTATATTACAAATGCAATCAAATATTTTGATAATGCCGTAAAGCAGCAGCTTGAATAAACTGTATGCTTTTAAAAGTAAAAAATAAATAGCATACTAATCTAAAAATCACATGGTCTTTGAAATATACCATGGAACAGTAATAAATTGAATAGCAAGTTTACAAGCTTGCCTATTAAAAAGCAAAATGTCAAAAGATCTTTTTAACCGATTTTGCCTTTATTTACATTTTTATAGAGAAGTTAAAAATGCACATAAACCATATTTATTAAATAAGCACTATAGAGTCAGGAACGCAAACATGTATTCCTGACCATATAGTATTAAAAACACCATGTAGCCACTCTGGGCCTCCTAAATATAGGAACATCGTACTTTTAATTCAGTCTGCTGCTGCTAGCTCTGTCCCTGATATTCTTGCTTGGCTGACGTCATCAAAAGTAGTAATCTGAGCCAATCACAATGCTTTCCCATTGGATTGGTTAAGTTTGTCAAGGAGGCAGATCAGGTGCCGAGCCAGCACAAGCCAAACACAGCCCTGGTCAATCAGCACCTTCTCATAGAGATGCATTGAATCAATAATGAGGAAAGTTCAATGTCTCCATGCAGAGGGTTGAGACACTGCAGCACTGTCCAAGGAAGCACCTCTGGTAGCCATCTGATGAGAGCCAGTGGAGGTAATTCCTAGGCTTTTCTCTGAAAAGACAGTGTTTACTTCAAAAAGCCTGAAGGGAATGATTATACTCACCAGAACAAATGCAATAAGCTGTAGTTGTTCTAGTGACTATAGTGTCCCTTTAATACATGATTTTCTATTACTTTCAATACCTCCAGCAATTGAGGATTGGTGTACTGGAGGGCTGCCATTTCCTGCTCTATCTCAGCCTGGTTCTTTTTCTTATCATCGACTTTAACTTCTTCCTTTCGTTCGGGAACAGGTTCAGGCGCTGGTATGAGCGGTACTTTATTCTGCATCCAGGCCTGCAAGAGAAAGAAATCATGAGAAAATTCTCTTCCAGAAAAACAATTCTTCAATATCTACACATTTGCTGCTGAGCCTGAGCTTTGTCTTGACCAAGTGCTAAAGACAATTTTGCACTCAGTACTTTTTACACAAATTATATATTGGAATTTACAGCATTTTCCTTCTGTCAAAATAAGCAAAGAATGTACTACTCAAAATGCAAACATCTGAAACGTTAACAAATGTATGCGAAATAACTGTCTATTAAAGAGACACTTTAGGCACTGTAACTGCTTCATCTCCTTAAAATGGTTATAGTGCCCGGAGTTCACTGGTGCGGTCGTCCCATTTGGCACTAAATAATGTTTTATGTATTAATGCAAAATGAGAGTCCCCACCCTTATGTGCCGCTCTGGCTAATGAGGAAGCCTTAAGCCTGTGCAGCAATGGGCATTGAACAGCTAGAAAAAAAGTTTACCACTGAATGGAGGGACAGTGCCAGGAAACTCCAGGCTCTATAACCTTTTTTTTTCTTCATAAGCAGCAAACAAGTCCATTGCTTCCCCAGCAATTCATCCTATTATATGTCCTGCAAAGTTGGACCCGTCTGTTGAGAAAGAGTGTTTGGCCAAGGCGGGCATGTGTTAAGTCCTGTGGTCCCTCTTGGGTTAGTAATAGTGGCACTATACTTAACCAACAGCCATATTTTAGTTTGTGATTTTTTTATCATTATTTAGAGAACATTTTTATACTTTTTCTATATCTTTACATCGACTCCACTTTGAATGCAAGGAAGTTTTCATGTGTGCAAGTTCACTATAACCAACCGAGAGATGAAACTGTTAGGGTGCCTAAAGTGTGTCTTTAATGAACTTTTCTAAATCCCACATGCACATTCTGCTCCACTCGTGAGCTGACATTGAAGGGGGAGGAGAGGTCACCAGCGCTGGGAGGGAGAGGGAGATATATATATATATATATATATATATATATACACACACACATATATACATATACACACTGTTTCTGGAAGCAGCTAAATGAACTACAACTCTCAAACCAGATGCATGTATCTTGTAATTCATTATCGATACACTTCAAAATATTATGTATATATTTCTTTGTTAAGCAATCGTTTTACGACTCACCTGTTGGAACTGAGCTGGGATGGGTTTAGCATATGGAACCTTTTTCTGAGGTACTTTCTTTTGATCCTTCTGCATTACTTCCTCCATTCCCCAGTCCAGCCCAGGAATTGTCATTTCCACTGCAATAGATTCCTCTTTGCCTGAAAAGAAAACCAGGAAGCATATTGGAATTGTAGGAATGAAGTGGAATAAAGCACACAGACTACAGAGTTTATAACATGATCTTACTCATCTGTTCCTGTTCCATTGCAATTTTCAGCTGTTCTGGGATTCCCATTCCAGGTATAACAGCCAGATTATTTGGTTCAACATCATCTAAAGACATGAATTAATATTATATATCAAGGACACAACAAGCAACAAACAGAACCAAACTAACAAGATAATTAGGGCTAAGATAATAAAGGAAAATTGTATGTGTAAGCACAGAGGTATTTTTGAGTGTGAATATTTGGCTGTATTTGTGTAGAGTGGAAATGTGCGTGATTGTTGTATTTTGTCTGTATGGAAAGCAGAACTAAATATTGCAAGTATAGGATTCTGAAAAATTTTTCTCCCATGCCCCCTCTCTCTTTACTTCTCACACTCTTACACCGCACAACTTTAAAGTCTGCTCCAATCATCATTTAGATTTTGTCTGCCCCATCTCTTCCACCGGTTTTTTTTTTTTTATGTTGGCCTCCAAATGCCAACCAAACTTGTGCCTGCCCACCTCTCACCATGATCTTGAGTCAATCCCCATCTGGCCAGCCATTTTGGGTCAGCCTCAATCTCCTAGTTTTTGTCTGATCTCAACCGTCTTCAATTTTGTGTGCCTCTCTCTGATTAGATCAGTAGTATAGCCATGCTCTTGGTGGATGCGAGCCTGTACTTTTTATTTATTGTTGATGTTTCAGCACGAAACAGAAGAGCACTCTTTGTGGAGGGGCCACATGCAATCCCACTATATATTTCTCACACATGGTGGTAAAATACTAGCTTAACAGTGATTAAGCAGGCTAAAGGAGAGAGCAAAAGCCTCTGTTGGAAGGGGAACAAGGGCCTTGTAAGAGGGCCCAACTTCACAAGAGGTATGGTAGGCAGGATGGCTAAAGGGTTTTTCTTAACTCCCCAACTAGTCTATAGTTGCAGAGGAAAAAAAAAAGTGATCTTGTTGAGCTTTTGGACATTTTGTTGTTTAACGGATGGTAAGCCGGGGCCTGAATGTTAAAATTCAGACCGTGAATACCTGCCATACATCACCCAATGTACAAATATTAATTTCCAAAGAGGGTTTAACACTGACATTTAATCTTGATTGTCTAATTATTTCTGCAACAATATACTTGAGAGGAGTTAAGACACAGCCCTCGCTAATACTACAAATGGCTCGTTAATTGGTTGCAGTTTCTTAAAGTTAGAAAAGGAATTAAATTATACTTAAATAATAGTGATATATACGTCCACAAACGGAGACAGAACAGTAGTTGAAGAAAAAAAATTACCATATTCAACACCATCTTCTGACATGCCAGGTAGTAGATTCAAGTTGTAGCGGTCTCGCATTTTGTCTCCAGGCCGGTTCCGCGTCCAGAATTTACTACAAGAAAACTTGGGTTACATGAAAGCAAACATTACCTTCATGCTAATTAAAAAGCACTATGCAATCAATTACCTGGTATGATCATTGGATCCTGAACAGAGAATATGCCCAAGTGGATGCCAAGCAAGGCTCCAGATCATCCCCTCATGTGCAATGTCCATGCCTCCTACTTCCTTTTCAACCCTGTGGAAAACAGAAAAAGATTATAAAAATATGTAAATCCACATTCTGACAAATACATATTGCACACATGATTAATACTTACCCAACATTCCAGAAGAGAAGAGAGCCATCAGATCCCCCACTGGCAAAAAGACCCTCGTGCACTGGATGCCAGGCAACAGCTATAAAGAAAAAGAACCTGATCAGGACATTTTCTTTTATACATTTCATTATTTTTCATAAGAACAATTCACATGTCTTACCTGTAGCTTCTTTTTTGTGACCTCGAAACACCTGTAACTCTTCACGAAGGTTTCGAAGATCAAAGAGTTTGCACAGATGATCTCGGGATGCAGTCAGCAGCCAGTTTCCATTTAAGTTCCACTTCACCTCCATTACTGTATTTTTATGAGCATGTCTAGTATAGAATGACAAAGATAAAATGCCATCATTTTAAATACGTACCAAAAAATAAACAAACACAAAAATAAAGAGACAGGTACACATGTAGTGCGTCCTAATTTTCTACTGAAACTCATATAGTCCCAAAATAAAATAAAAAGCTTAAAATACAGGCACCAGGCAAACAGACATTTGTGCTAAAAACAATAACCAGTGAAATAATCACTAATATGTAACACGTGCAAGTAATAATTTATATATATTGTTTATGCATTATCCTGAGAGAGTAACAAGTATGAATATGACATGAATAAAAAATATAAAATATATATATATATATATATATATATATATATACACACACACACACACACACACACACACTCACTCTTCTAAGATTGGACATGCACAATCAGATATGCAAACAGACAGACACTTACAGTGTTGCAAGACTCTGCCCATTCTTAGGATCCCAAAATTTAATTGGCTGTTGGCTATCCTTGCTTCCGGAGACAAGAAGACCTTTGGTTGGATGCCAGTCAACACATTTTACATCAGCACCATGTCCTGAAATAATAAATAAACATGGAATAACCCTTACAAAAATTGTAAATTTCCCATTGAAAAAACTAAACAGATAAGCAATTTTCCCCCCAATGAGTTGTCCTGTGTCATCACATATTGTACATCACCTCAAATGAGCAAAGGTGGATTACTTTGACCAGCCCATTTAGCTCATTGTAGTAACATTAATTCTGTCCACATGTGGATGGCATTCATTGGCTGAGAACGTCAGCTGGCATGCAGACACTGTAGTGTGTATGGTTTAAGGAGGCTTTGCATGTAGACACAGCATTAATATGTGCGATGGCAAAATAATATATCTTTTTAAAGCTATTTTAATTGTGCAACATATCAATGCTTGCATGGGTGGGTTTGATGCTTATATAAATGGTACAAATACAAACAGTCTAAAAACTGGACAAAGCGTGAAAGAGGTGCTGACTGCCTATCCTGTAGGGCTGGGGTAGACAACCTTCGACACTCCAGATGTTCTGAACTACATCTCCCCTAATGTTTTGCTAGCATTATCTCAGTAAGATCATTATAGGAGATGTAGTCCACAACATCTAGTTACAAAGGTTGCCTACCCCTGCTGTCAAATATCCCAAGAAAACAGTCACTGAGAGAAACCTAAAATAAAAAAAAATTATATATATATATATATATATATATATATATATATATATATATATATATATATATATATATATATATATATATATATATATATAAATAAAACACACACATACACACAGAGAGAAAAGCCTTTATTACCAATAAAATATATAGCACTACTATACTGGGCATAGAAAATAGGCAAAAGACAAAAACAGGTTCCAAGCCCATGATGCTTAATTTGTCCTCTAACAATTAAGAACTAGAAACCTGAAAGCCAGAACCCTTGTAAATGAAGAAGACAATGTCTTGCAAAGGGAAAACAGACATGATGAAATACATGTTCTCTATCTGATTCCATTCAGCTGGCAATTATCCACTAAAGGAACATAAACTACTTCTATCCTTAAATGCCCATATGGAAAGAACTGCTGATGAAAGAAAATCCCAATAACTTCACCATAGGGCAGAAGGCATTGGTGGTAATGTCCATTTACCATTGCTGATGCAACTTTCATGGCTATCTTTAAGTTTCTGCATGGACCTCTAGGAAGTTGCGTGATGACAAGGCTACTTGTCTTGTAATAAAACCTGTGATCTGGGAGACCTACTTCACCAATCAGCAGGTGGAATGAAATTTACCTAGTATTGCTCACTCTCCTACAATACTGCAAAAACATCTGTAACAATTGGTGAATATATCTACTTCTTCACAATGACTTATGTCTCCACATGATATGTTCAGATATCTAACCTTTGGCAACTCACTGTGGTGAGATCCTATCATTGCAGCATTTGAAAAATTACCAATGCTTAGTAGAAGTATCCCAGCATCTAGAGATGTTTTTTAAAAATCTCACTTTTTAATAAAACCTTAAGTTTAAAGCAAAGATTTGAGGTCACAAAGTTCATTCCTTCAAGTGCTCTGTTGGCTACCATACCAATTCTTCCAGTCTCCAAATTGCGCTTTATGGGGGTTACATAGCCTTGTCCACCCTTTCTCAACTACGTTAGTAGGTTGTCAACTATTAGACTCACGTATGGTACTCTCTTTCAGAGGGCAACCAGGGACATCAAACCACATCTGATCATGCCATTATATTCACTCTGGGACACCCATTTTTTTTTTTTTTTTACTACGATGAAGAAACAATTTGCCCACAATATGGGTGTGGATTTTAACTGATGGGTATTCTGACACCTCGCCCCCAGGTAGATGTACCCACCTTCATGTCCTGGAGAATGTTGGACTTCAGTAATCACACTGCTAACTTCTGCTGTATTTATTGCCCATATGTGACAATGATAGTTTAGCAAACACATGCTTCTTCTGACATCCTTTTCCCCCCTCAGACATTTACATTTTATCATTACAGTTTTACTCTATATCTAAACAGCGTCTTGAACTATTGTTTTCAGTAATTGTTTCTATGATATTACTGCCCAACATATACCCTAAATTGAACGATTTTAATAGTCTAGAGCACCTTTTTATTTATCAGCTTTATAGGTTTTATTTATCTACTTGCAATGTCTGGTTTTCTTGTTCTTTTTTCCCCCCATTAATACATACACTATTTTGTTTTATTGCTCTAATAAACAATCTTTTCTTATTTCATTTGCTATTCCTTTATTTTTATATATCATTTATCATTATTCCTTATTATGTTCCACATATACACACTATATTATATAGTGTATGTTTTGTTGTTTTTTGAGATACTTACAATTTTTTTGGCTTAAGTGTGACCACTAATATATACTTGGTATTATTTAATTGCTTGACAATGCAATCTTAAAGTTCAATCTTTTCTTATTTAAATTCCATCTACTATGCCTTTATTCTATGTTATAACATTATTACATTACAAATTCCACATAAACATACCATGTTCTAATATCTATAGTATGTTTTTCTCAGGTATGTATATTAGGATCTCCAAATAGTTTTTTTTATTTTCTTGCCCATTGTCACCGGCCCACACATCCCACAATTTGGAGGAATAAATATGAGGAGAGAAAAAAAAGTTACACCCATTGTGACCAAGGCTTTTCCTGAGGTTTCATGTGTTTGTGGTCAAGGCATTTTACTATTTGTTTGTCTCACCATAATTCAAAATAAGTTCACTTATTACTGCCGATAGTAAAAATGCCTAATTTGTCCTGGATTTCAGTTGTTTTTAGGAAGTTATGAGGCAAGTATAGCAAGGATTAAGTTTTGGTTTTAAAGTTAATCTTTTGCTAAATTTGGTTTGCCAACACAATACTTTCATAGCAGCCACAAAATCCAAAACTGTATCACAAAGTACATATTTGGATAAATTAGACCACCCTGTGTATTTACCTTTGATTTAACCATTTTATCACCAACTCTGCCAAAACTGTCCGTTATATCTAATTTGTGTAATTCCACATGCATTTTATTTTTGTGGGGAATTTCACAGAAAGCATGACCCGCTGCAATACAGATTTCTGTTCTGCTAGTGTCACTGAATGCCAAAATACCCCCAAGTGAACCTCTGCCACAGTTTTGAGAAGTTAATTGATCAAATTACAGGCACTGTGTAATTTTGATATTGTGTTTTCCCGATTCCCAGAGACACTATTTGTTAAAGTGACATGATTCATGTTATCATACTGAAGAATAGTAACCCTTGATGTTATTTCTACCCTTTTCTAAAATAGACACTTTTTGTGTTACCTTACTGAAGGGTGTGTGTTAAGCCTTGACATTATTTCTAACCCTTTCTAAAACAGACCACTATTAGCAGACTGGCCCCAGGCCCGTGATGGTTGTGAGAGCCAACTACAGTGATAACACTGCCTTAGCTGCCAGCAAATGTATGTGCTCAATGTGATTGCCTCCCAGTGCTTGGGATCCAATCTATTCCTATTGCTGTACTGCCTCACTTGGGAATCAGCCAGCAGAAGCTCAGTACAGATGGCTTACAGCATTTGCTGACAAGCACAGGAATACTGTGATAGCTTGTCACATAGATACAATCACTGGGGCAGCCACTGTAAATCTCATGGTTGAGGAGCCCAGTAATAGCTGTCCTCTCGAAGTCCTGCGGCTGAGCGCATCCACAAGTTTGTACAGACAAAGTGCCCAAGACTCCAATGAACACCGTATGTCTTGTCACGAACGGCTTTAAGAGACACATCAGGCACTTTCTGTTCCTGTATACAGCAGTTTCAGCAATCTGCTTTAAAAAAACAAAACAAAAAACCTCTGCAAAATAGACCCGCTTGTCACCTAAAGACATCACAGAAAGAAGCTACTACTCCCTAAAGTGAGATGAAGTTGTTTTTATGAATGTGTACATTACACAAGAACCCACCTCTTTAACAGGCTGCTTTAAAGCTTTATGTGATGCAGCTGGAGATGTGTTTGCAAACCCATTCATGTAGTTCTGGTAGTTGATGGAAACTGCATGATGGGTACAGTACCAATCAAAAGCAGGGCTTTATGTGATCTCAGCATTGCAAAAACACAAAACAAAAAAACTAGGATAAGAGCTGGGATTGGCTGACAGGTAACTGCTACTTTCTAGTCCAAGAAGAGATTCCCATCCAGAACCTATAAACCACGGAACTGGAAAGATGCGTCCATTTTTTTATTTTGTACTTGGGCATTATGTACAAGAATGGCTTTGTTTTAAAGAGCATCATAGAACATCATAGAACAGCTCAACCTGCAAACCCCTAATTACACTGTTGAACAAAGTCCTACATACAGATGAGATAGAAATGAAATTGTACTTAAAGGGATGTGAAGACTTCAAGGTTGCTAATATGGAACTTGATCTGTTAAACACTGTAGTGCCAACGTTATGGTTTGGGTAAGTACGGCTACCACTGCAAGTGGCTCGGGTGTCCATTGATAAAACTGCTCACAGCCATGGTGGGGTTGATTCTGAAGTGAAACCTCCTCTTCTCTCTTTATATACAATCAACATTGGCCAGAAAGAACGCAGCAGAACAATTACCAAAAATATTCTTCAACCAAGGAATCTTTGCGAGTGGCAAAAACAATCCTCCATCAGGAATCCACATGATTTCATATTTCCAGGTGATGAAAACAAAAGGGACAAATGTCCCAAAATATAAAGGATCTGAAGATCTCATGAGTACAGGCCTGGCATAGCATCAATAGAGTATATAGAGAAAGTGCACCTATGGGTTGTTTACTTGAGGCAGTAATCAAAGTTAAATGATTTGTAACTAAGTATTACAGGAGAGTTTTAATTTGTTCATTTAATTTTGATTTGCCAAAATGGAAGAAAAGGGCTAGAATTCCAAAAAACATGTTTTATGAATGTGAATACCGTCAAATTAAAGTGGTCAGCCAGCACTTCATTAATAGGTTATTTTTCACTTCTGATCCAAAGTGCAGTAGAGATTCATCACTAAAAAAATGTTAGTCTCCAAATACTTATGAACTGCACTTTAAATACACTGACTACTAGTGTCTAAAATCCAGAAAATGTTTTTGCTGCATTATACCCAAAAGGTCAGCAATTCGGTATTATTCCCAGGCCTAATTTTAAAATTAATTTGAAGATCATAATTGTGTTATTGTATAGAAGAAGAAAAAATAAATAAAAAAAGAACAAGTGCAACATTTAGTTTAAAAAAATAAACGGTATAAACTGTACAGCTTGAGTCTTGCAATTACCTTCTCCAAAGATTACAATTCTCATTTCTGCAGTACACAACTTATGTCAGCTGTGTTACGCTTTATTGCAAAATGATTAACGATAAACAACAATTATCTTCAGATAACACATAAGCGTATGGTTTTCTTTGGGGAGATGGCAGGCCACAGAGGAACAATTATATTTCTTAAGCTATCATTATTAATAACATCTACACTATCACTTGAGGAATAATGTTGGATATGTATTTTAATATGGGAGAAATGCTAAATACTGGTTTTAAGTTAGGCTAACTCAATAGCTTAGTTTAGCAGAATATCTTCCCACTTATGGCCCTGCCAGGCTCAAGAAAATCACTGAGAGGTGTCCTGAAAAGTAAAATGACAAGTGGACTTCACATTTGCATATGTGTCAGGTACCGAATGTTTACATTGTAAGTTTAATTTTTCCAATGAACAATTTGACGAACATTTAGGCATTATTTTGACACCAAAGGCAAAGGGTACAACAGATTTCAGCAGAACAGAATATAATTCATATTTTAAAAGCTCCAATTTGTAAAAGTAGGGTCCATGTTAGTACTTTTGACTTTTTGTGAAATTCACAGGATTCTCTAAAAATGACATACCTCGTAAGATTCTTTCCTCGTGGCAACGTAGAAAATCCCAGATCCTAACAGTGCCGTCATCTGAACAGGTGGCAAATTTATTGTCCGTTGGGGAGAAACTGTTACGTGGAGACAAGCATCATTGAAGAAGTCAGAGATACAAACAGCACTCTATTCAACCCCTATTTACATTACAACGAAGATTTGGAGAGTCTTGAAAAGGCAGCTCCAGACTATTTAGAATCTCAAGCTAGAATTTTATACTCCAAGTCTATTACTCATTTAATGATGCCTAATGTGGGTGTTCTTCCATACTAGTCTCCAGAAAACAGATAACAGAAAAGCAAAATTTGGTAACTTAGCATGATTAAAGGAAAACCAATTAAGATAAAGATAATTATTAACTTAATGCGTATTATGGTTCACAATGATGTGGTTTGGTATCAGAGATCTAACTAAACACACATTCAATTTAAAAATATAAGCAAACTGATATTATGTGGGGGGAATTAAATGCTATAATTTCAGTTACATAAGTAAAACTGTCAGTCACTGCACTCTCCAATGACAATCCCCTTAAGGGGGTGTAAAAATGAAGTAGCTGCTATTAATTGGTATCTAATGGGAAAAAAAAATGCCAAGGCCTCTAGCAATATATGTCAACCTCACAAAATAGATCAGAATAGCGGGCTTAAAGGGTGCTTCCTGCCCATCGCTGTGGAACACCAATCATCTGTTTGTGGTGTGAAAGTGGCTTCCAGTGAAACAAACAATGAGGATGGAAATGACAGAACCCGGATATTTGCATCTACTGCATCTGAGCACTGTGGCCATAACTAGTCACCAAGGACCTTCAGCGATCCTAGATTTAGAGTGATCACATTCTGTTCCATTGAAGAAAACAAAATATGTATAATGGCTGAATAGTCTGAAAAAGCACTGATCTTTGGCAGTGTTAGCCAACTGGTGGCCATTATGACATATCAGCACAGTCTAAATTTATTTACATACCATCACTAATTTAATATGGTATGTGACACCATTTCTCTATTACAGGGGAAGGCAACCTCCAGCACTCCAGGTGTTGTGGACTTCATCTCCCTTGATGCTTTGAAAGCATCATGCTGTCAGAGAATTATGGGAGATGTAGTCCACAACAACTGGAGAGACAAAGGTTGGCTTACTTATTATATTCATGCCTCTCTCCATTTAAAAACTGGAGAATGCTGATCGAAGGCATATTTAGCAAATTAAGTAACTCACCAGGTGCTGAAACTGAATAATTAGGGTGTGGGATGATGGATAGCTAAAGCGACAAGTAAAATAGTCATGGTTTGCTGCATAAGACTACATTAACCAAAGGTACCTGAAAACTAAATGTGAAGGTATTTGTAGAAATCGGTCTCATTAACTGCTGACAAAGCAACAATTTCATATTTTGTTACAGACTTCTAAAATGAACTAAAATGGGAAATCAAAATTATTGCTAGTAGTTCTTTGAAGGAGTCCCAGTATTAAAATAAAATAACAGCAAAACAAACAAGCAAGTTATAAACAGCTACAGGATTCTTCAGGGAAAATGGTGTAGATACTAACCAAGAGACATTGGTGATGTTTCCAATTACACCATGACTATTCTTATTTCTCCTTTTAAGAAGAACTTTATACATGGTTGTAAAAACAATTGTTACATATAATTTGTGACTGAATCCAGTTTGAATAACTTTCTTAAAACAAAACAAATGACAATTGAATTAGTGATAAAAATGTTTTTATATATATATATGCGTACTCACAACACCCATGTTCAAATTTAATTTTGAAATTGGTCCTTCAAAATGAATACCATCACGTGATTATGAAAAGGAAACCAGAACTCCCAAGGTTCCAACATAACACAGGAAATAAATAGCAGAAATTGACACATTATTTTAAAAAAATCTAATTCATTGCCATCCCCCCCCTTTAGCATCTGTATCAGTCAAATAAAACCCTAAAACACTTTATTTCAGATCCATTCATAGCAACAAGTAATGAAAATAATACTTAAGGTGACCTTTTACTAAAATGTAATTTTTTTCTCTTGATTCTTGTAGACCATAAAAACTTAATACCATTTTTCTTTTTTTGAAGCTGGTTGAAGTCAAAGCTTTTGTTTTTGTCTGTTGAAGAATGGACTTTTTATTGCTCTCATGGGTTCAAACTGTATAGACTTTAAAATTGTAGAGTTGATGCCAAATGAAATGTTCTCTAGCCATGAAGAATGATTTTGACAGATGAGAACAACTTGTGGCTGCTTCAGAGCATGAAGTGGAACACACTCATATTAGTAACTTTCACAGACTGTCACAATCAGACAAAAATATCACCCCACCAATAAAACTAAACATAAAAAGGAAACAAACGGCTACTTAACCATAACCTGATACCATAATTTGGAAGACTCAATTCACATCGATCTTGGAATACGCCAGTACAGAAGCCATCTAACAGACCAAAAGTCCAGAAACATTCTGGAAGCGCTTCTAGTCTGGTCTGGTAGACAGCCACTGTAGGTAGACTTAGTATTGCAATGTAAACAATGCAGTTTCTCTAAATTGCACTTAGTGCAATTTGGACATTGTACCCAGACCACTTCAATGAGCTGAAGTTGTCAGGGTGCATATAGTGTCCCTTTAAAAAATGAAAAGAACGAAGCATCAAAAGATGCTTAAACGGTAACAGTTTATTAACCATGTTGACTTTTTATTGGGCAACACCTATGACCCTTTCAAATAATGTAAAAGGTTTTCCCCCCTTCAGACAGAAGGGTGCAGACACTTGACTCCAGAAGGAATACTGCACAAAAATATGTATTTCTAGGTTCACATGAGGTGACTTTATTTTTACGACTCTTCTCTTATTTATCAATAAACCACTAAAAACTGTTTAACACTCAATGGAAAGCCAGCGCCAGAGACTGCAGATACTATACCCACTTCAATGAGATGAAGCAGTTACAGTCTCTTTAGATTTGTGTTCACTTGACACACAAAACCCTGTCAGAGGGAGTGTTGTCAAAAAATCCAGGAAGAACAAAAGAGAGGAAGGCAGAGACAAGGAGCTATCAGCAATAACACCTTTACTAACGGGGCTCTATGCGTGTTGTGTGGTTGCACACATCAAATATTAATAATCTCAGTATTCTCATAAAAAAGTCAGATAAAACAAAATACACATTTAATGTGGAAATATGTAATTGATGTAAAATGTGTCATTGGTTCACCAGCAGACAACTGGTAGAGAACCTGGGTTGCCCGTACTATTATTACTGCCAACATACTCCCACATTCTATGTATGTGCACATGTTGAAAAACCAAAATGGGCAACATTTACCAGCCTTCACCCAAGGCAAAAAAGTTTTTTCATTACAGTGAGAATTGCCTGGAAACCAAATTTGTGATAAAAAGTGGAAAGTTTCTGCAACTTCTCATACCACTTCATCTCATTTAAGTTAGTTTGGGCACAATATATCTGTGCCACTTAGTCCTGCAATGTAAATCATTACAATTTTTGAAAAAACTGCAATAATTACCTTGCAGGACTAAGACTGCCTCCAGTGGCGGTCAGACAGCCACTAGAGGTACTTCCTGGATGCTAGCATACTCTGAGCCCCCTAAATGACACTAGACATCCTCAGGATCTGCATGAGGACATTCAGCGTCAGCAAAAATCCCATAGGGTGGGGGTGACCAAAGGGTACTATAGTGTTTGGAATACAGATTTGTATTTCTAACACTTTAGAATCCCTTTAAGAATTTCATGACTGACTATGCGATTATGGAGTGCAGAGCTTTAATGCATGTTGACAGCATAGACCGTGATGAAGCAAAAGGTACCAAGCCAGGTGCCCTCCGTCACCTGGGGCCACAGTTAGTTGCCCCAGACCAGCGATCAGCTATGTGCAGTGCTCTAAGTCAGCTCTGTACATAACCCTTTCAATGAATTTGCATACAGTTCTAATTTTAAAATGTTCCCAGTGTCAAGGACAATCTCAAGGTCTGAAAATACTCTGATCAGGTTTCACTGCTTGCGCTCTCCTAAGGGATTCCCATTCCTTGAGCTCCAGCATGAAAAGGATATCTCCCACACATGCTACAACCATAGAGTATAGAGTATAGAGTACTCACAGAGTCCACATACAGTGTCAGGAATGAAATCCCTCTGCTAAAGTCAGTACTGGCGTCAGCAAAGTGAATCCCTCTTAGGAGGGATTAAGAGGCGAGATTAGGGGATGTTTTAAGTGCCGATTGCAACTCTGATTAGAGGTTGGATTATAGGCTGAATTAAAGTTTGGTTTTGGGCAAAGGTATATACGTGGTCTGTAAATTTCCCCAAAATAGAACACTTAAAAAGAAACATTTTATCTAAATTTGGGATAAAAAGTTTAAACGAAAAGTGTCACAATGCTCTTCGTTACAAACTAAAAAAGTGTCACAATGCTCTTCGTTACATAGCCTAGGAGAGATACTTTCTACAAATTTACTATTGTGTAATGGTTTGGATTTTCTCTGGCTACTATAAAAGTTGTAACCTCAGGATGCTAAATTTTGCAAAGTTTATGCTTTGTAATTCATTTGTTAAAGAATTTCTTCAAGATTAACAAATCCTGGACATATTCACAATTCGTTAATCTATTTTGAGTTTGTTTTCTTTAGTTGCACTTGGTGTGTAGAAATTATTAAAGGTAAAACAGAGATCCAAAAGTATGTTTTTTTTAAAAAACCTCTTAAGGAACAAGGTTTTTTTGAGATGCAATGTGTTTGTGACCAAGGCCTTTTTAGCACTTCCGCCATGCATTACTACTACCACACTTTCTGCTTAAGTGTACCCATATATATGTCAGGTGTCCCCAAACCGTGGCACTTGTACAATCAAGTGCTCCCGGGGACACGTGTATATTAAAAAAAAAATAAAAAAACAACAACATTGGAAATGGAATCTAGCGCTGCAGCTGCACCTAATCTTTAGGGCTGCCCGATAGACATGTGTCATGAGGTGTCTGGTTGTGTACTGCCCCTTCTAACCACCTAAGATGCTGGGAGGAAGGGGGAGCCCCTAACTCCCAACAGCTCCAGCCAGTAAAAGTCACTGTCCTGCACCCAGAATGTAGGAAACTGGAGTGTGGCTAAAATTGTGACCTGGATGTGTGTTTTGGGTGCCTGTATCTGTATGCAGTGTTTGCATCTGTCATTGTATCTGAGTCAGTCGGTGTATCAGTGTGACTGTGCGACTATATGTACGGCAGCATTTGCATCTGTGTGCGCGCATCTACATGTGTGGCATTGTTTGCATTTGCGTATCTGTACATATGTATGTCAGTGCATCTGAATGTCTCTGTGTTTGTATCTTTGTGATTTTGTGTGTGTGTGTGTCTGTATCTGAATGTATGTCCATTACTGTATGCGTGTTTCATGGTTTGTATCTGTGTGTCCATGCATCCACATGTGTCAGTAACTGTCTCCGTATGTCAGTGTTTGTATTTGTGTATCTGCCTCTGTATGCGTGCCAGTGCCTCTGTATGCGTGCCAGTGTTTGTATCTGTGTGCCTGTGAATCTGCATGTGTCATTGGTTTTGTGTGTGCACGCGCGCTTTTGTATGGGTATATATCTGCATGTGTGTCAGTGTTTGTATCTGTGTCAGTGTTTGTATCTGTGTGCCTGGGTATCTATATGCGTGTCAGTGTGCCTTGGTATCTGTATGCATGCCAGTATCTGTGTGCGTGTCAGTGATTGTATCTGTGTGGCTGCGTATCTGCATGTCATTGGTTTTGTGTGTGTGAGAGTTTGTATGTGTATATATCTGCATGTGTGTCAGTGTTTGTATCTGTGTGCCTGGGTATCTGTATGCGTGTCAGTATCTGTGTGCCGGCATATCTGTGTGTGTCAGTGTTTGTATCTGTGTGCCTGCGTATCTGTGTGCATGTCAGTGTCTGTATCTGTGTGCCTGCGTATCTGTGTGCATGTCAGTGTCTGTATCTGTGTGCCTGCGTATCTGTGTGCATGTCAGTGTTTGTATCTGGGTGCGTGTCAGTATTTGTATGTATGCCTGCTTATCTGTATGCGTGTCAGTATCTGTATGCTTTAGGTGCTGATTACAACTCAGATTAGAGGTTGGATTATAGGCTGCATTAAAGTTTGGTTTTGGGAAAAGGTATATATGTGGTGTTTGCAGTAGTGGGATATGTGTGGTCTGTAAATTTTCCCAAAATAGAACACTTAAAAAGAAACATATTTTGACCTAAGTTTGCGTTAAAAAGTTTAAACGAAAAGTGACACAACGCTCTTCGTTACAAACGAAAAAAAGTGTCATAATGCTCTGTTGCCTAGCAGAGGTACTTTCTACAAATGTACTATTGTGTAATGGTTTGGATTCTCTGGCATGTGTAGCAGTGTGTGCGCGTATCTGCACATATGTCAGTGCTTGTATCTGTTCGCGTATCTGCATGTGTCAGTGTTTTTTTTTTTATCTGTACATCTGTATGGGTGTCAGTGCATCTGAATGTGTTTGAATCCTGAGTGTGATTTTGTGTTTGTGCCTGTGTATCTGCATGTGTCTCATTGGTTTATTTGTGTGTGTTTTGCAGGGTTTGTATCTGTACGAGTATCTGCACGTGTGTCAGTGCTTGAATCTGTACGCGTATCTGCACGCATATCTGCACGTGTGTCAGTGTTTGTATCTGTACGCATATCTGCACGTGTGTCAGTGTTTCTTTTTTATCTGTACATCTGTATGGGTGTCAGTGCATCTGAAGGTGTTTGAATCTGTGGGTCTGTGATTTTGTGTATGTCCGTTTCAGCTTGAGTCAGTGTTTGTACCTTTGTATCTGCATGTGTCTCATTGGTTTAATATATGTGTGTGTGTGAGTGTTTGTATCTGCACGTGTCAGTGTATCTGTACGCGTATCTGCACGTGTGTGTGTGTGTGTGTGTGTGTGTGTGTGTGTGTGTGTATCTGTAAGTGTCAATGTTTGTTTCTGTGGGCCTGTGATTTTGTGTATGTCCGCATCCACGTGTCAGTGTTTCTACCTGTGTGTCCGGGTCTGTATGTGTGTCTCTTAATTTTACATGCAATAATTTCTCCACACCAAGTGCAAGTAAAGAAAACTAACTCAAAATGGATTTACTAAATTTGTCCTGATTGTTAAAAGGCCCAATGTGTATAGGATTTAAATTATTTTTTTGAATTTTTAAAACAAATACTGCAAGGAGTGAATTACGGTTTTAAATCTAAAACTTTTCCAAAAATTTAAGTTGTCACAGAATTTAAAAAAAACCAAAACAATTTATTGAGTGGTCAACTAAACACACTCAGTCAATCAGTGACGTTCCCATTCACAAAACCGGTTTGGAGAGTTACATACCTTTTCCAAGCCATTTTTGTGAATGCAGAGTCCATTTAAAAAGGACAAATATGTAGGGGTGCACTTAAACAGAAAGGTTGAAAATGCAGTATAAGGAACGGGTGACGAAAATGCCAAAAAGGCTTTGATCACAAATGTGTGCCTTCTCAAAATAGCCTTTGTCCTTAAGACGTTAATTTATCTCTAGTGTATTTAGTACACTGAAGTACATTGTGTTGGCATAAGGCATGAGCATCATGATCATTATGAAGGCAGAAGTACAATGGTCCTTTCCCTGGTAATGAGGAAAACCATTTAGCAACATTTGCCCTCTTAACAGAGCTGGAGAAGACAAATTCCGATACCGCCAGACCTTTATTGGCTAACTAATCTTAACAATTCTGTGCAAGGAAAGTTACACAGAACTGAAATCTGTCAGGCCACAATTAGGCCCTCTATGACACTGCCGAAGGTGGAGTTACACTTCTGTCAGCAGAGGGGTTAATCTCTGTATGAGCAGCGTTCTGTAGCAAAAGCCTGCATATGCAGGTTCAAGGCACCATGACCACTTAAAATCACTGAAGTGGTTGTGGTGCCTAGAGTAACATCTTAAATAGGGAACAAAATTAGGAATTTAGATCTGATAACAGGGCAACAGTCATATATAGCTGTCTGTAATCCCGGTGACAGCCTAGTCTGGAAGCTAACTTACCAGTAAAGAAAACTAAAATAAAATATAAAGTTTTTAGACAATGTGATAAAATTACATTGCCCTAAATTTTAGCAATCTTGGAGAAAACCCAAACAAACAAAAAAAACAGACAATGGCATTGTTTTTAACACAGTGCTAAACACACCTGCAGTGTATTCCCGACAGCCACTAGGGGCGCTTCCGCTGCTTAGACAAAGTTTGATCCATTCATTGACGCTCAACGTTTTCAAGCACTGCATGAGGACATTGAAAGTCAATGAATGCAGTTCAAAGGGACGCACAGGATTTAATGCTTCCATATGAGAAGCATTTAATTGGAGCGGATGTGCAAATCATTCCCAATGATTCTCTGTGAGGAAAAAGCGATGCCTCTATGATGTCGTGGGAGAAGGAGTGAGCAGCTGCACAGAATGAGTCTTGGCACTGGAAAGTGATATTTTACAGTTTACAATCAGGGACCCTAAAACTAAAGAGGCTCTATGACATTATAGCGTTAGAAATACGACTGAATTCCTAATGCAATAGTGTTCATTTCAGTTAAGTTTTTCAAATCATAATCGGTGCACACGGTTCTTTAGTTAGAAAAAACGAAATGATAAATATTTTTATAAATCTAGGGCTTGAAACACTGTAGAAATCAATACAGTGCCCTAAAATTGATGTGCCAAAACTAAATCACTAAAGTACAATCATTTTATATGAATAACATTTTTGTGTGCTTTACTTGTACAATACTTTACAGTGAACCAGCTATGCACAACTTGTGTTGGTGACTAGGACATAAACTAGAAGAAATACAATTTGCCTATATATTGTGCAACTAAAAATAACACTGTATATAGAAGTTAGGAGATATACTTGCATAGTGTCTCCTTTCACAATGGAAAAGTGGAAGCTGCGTACATTCACCAAATTCTCAAATAATATATGTGGCATTTCACAGTTCTTAGAAGGTATTTACTCAAGTAAGAATTGTTGGAAACTTAAAGAGATTTCAAAGTGAATTAAAATTTTTATAATAAAAAAAAAAAAGCTTAATTAAAAGAAATTCAGCCTTAAATTTGAAATTCACTTTGAATTCCTGACTATATTCACTATAGTAAATAACTTTGACAGTGTCAGAATGCATATTTTAAAAAGTTGGATGTTCACGGGTCAGAAAACCAAGTAGAGCAATGCAGTCTTCATAACGGCGCTGTTGACACAGTAAGTTTATGGTGACATAAAGCAATAGATAAGATGGTGGTTTGGAAGAGTGCCCTACAATTGTCAGAGCAAATTTAGAGCATTTTTGTTGAAATACGGTTAAAATATGAAATAGAAAACATACCTAAAATATGCTATTTGGTTAAAGGAAAGCATATTTTTACGTCTTCATGATTATCGGATTGGTTTAATTTTAGAGAGCCAAACTAAGAGGGCAACAATTTCAGATTCTATCAATTACCTTTGACAGAGCACAATTTAACATTTTATGGTTTTTATAAAACTTCAGGGCTAATATTAGTTTCATTGGAAATAAAATATTTTTATTAAGTGTATTTTTCCCCCCACTCATTGTGGTCTTAAAACATTAACAATTATAATCTTAACCAATATAGAGTAATTAGTGTTCTGAGTAAAAAAATTGTTTGTTTTTTTTAGAGGTATTATTTAGAACATGTTTTAACTATTCCAGAAGCTAACAAAGTTTGAAATCCTAAAACGGAGTTTGGCTTTATAGCTTTGATGATCAAACTATGATGTGTCCCAGAGATCATGATTAAAAGTGGGCGAATCACCGCTCAGCGTAAAGTTAGTCATACGTATTAATACACAATAAGCCTAAAAAAGGAATGAAACTGAGCAAATTGGTTCAAACACAAAGTTGTGGAAGTTTAAATTTGTAATGGTCAAGACGTTATGTTCTTCTATAACAAAATAAAACATGATGTCTGAATTCACAGTGCATCACAGGACTAAAAGCTATAAAAACCCTAGGAAATCATGTCCTGTAATTAGTTAAAGGTGACAATCTTTGTAGCCCATAATCACTGTCTTGGGTACTTCCAAGTCTCTCCAGAGATGCAGAGCCGCAAGAGGATAGTCGGGATAATCTTATTTTAAAAATGGGGGCAATGGGGAAAAAAAAAAAAAACAAGCCTTTAGAGATATATGTGTGTTCCATTCTGAATAGGGGTGCAAACGTGTAAAAGGAAGAGTGTGAACAATGAAATGTCCTTATTTTCCCCCCATTGCGACTGCCCTCCTTTAGAATTTTAGACCACTTTTCAGAGCACAACACCTTTTTATACATAACCCTCTGTAGTTCTTGAACAGATATTAAAAATGTTTCTCAAGGTTTCATTTTCTTCACGTATGCTTGGTTATCACGAGGGATGCTTCAGTTGACATTTAATTAGAAGTTATACTAGCAATAAATAACTTTTGAACAGAACCACCGCATTCCTGCACAGTTTTCCCACTGTTTAGCAAAATAATGTACATAGGTTCTTCACGTGTAAATATTATTCTAATTAGAAAACAGGCATATCAATTCATACAGACGCAATAGAATCTCCTCCTACCCTGTTAATTTGCCAAGTGACAGCAAACTCAATATATGTTTGCCAGCATTGGCATTTGGTGGCCTTTGATGTTACACTTCATGTTGGCGTACAGGGTAGCAATCAATCCTGGTGGCCAGAGTAAATGTGACATGTATGGTGCTAGATGCGGCGATAACCGTCATCAGAACAAATATCGCAGCCAACTCAATTATTCACACACATCAAGCACACAGTGGCAATTAGTATGTTGCAGACAGGTAGTGAGAAACTCACTTAAGAAAAGTGGTTAAAGGGACACTCTAGGCACTGAATTGCTTAGTCCACTGACACTGTTTCTCCAGTCAGTGTAAAACCAACCATTTTCGTTTAACACAATGTGGATCCCTATGAGCCCACAACCCAGTCCCCACTGGTGGTATGGCAAGGGCAGAGATTACTTTTCCTTTCAAGCCATGCCAATTCTTGCCAGCAATAGGCAACTATGAGAGGCTGAAGCAGTCAGCTGACACGCTCAGCCACCCACTGCTGCTAAGGCTAACGCTTCCTCATGCTCCCCAAGCAGCACAGATGGGATGGGCAGCTGGGGTTTCTCATTTAGCATTAAAAACTTTTTAACACTCAACAGAAGGAGAGTGTCAATCAGGTGAAGCTATTACAGTGTCTCTTTAATTGGGAATTAAGGATGAGAAAGTATAAGTACCAATATTCATGTAAAAAAAAGATGATTTTAGAACGATATGTCCAATATGGAAATGTAGCTGAACAGAGATATGGGTAGAGAAGAAAAAATAGTTATCGGGGGGCTAGTGTTAACAGCAGAATGTAAACTGTTAAATAGAGTGAAATACATAAAAAGGGCATCGGAGCAGATGAAAAATGAGAATTGAAATGGAGGGAGAACTCTAACAGAGAATGACATAATAGAGAGGATGACATGACAAGGAACATTATTTGAGGGGTTTTAAAATAAAAGGTTTAATTAAAAAAAGAGCGAACAAGGAACATACGTTAGGAAGTGGGGCAATGAAAGAAAGTATAAATAACAAATAAGTATAGGTGGAATAGTAATGGGGTTTGAGTACTTTTAAATGTTTGTTATTCCTGCAATCATGTGACCTATTGGACCCTTAGACATTTTCCATCACTGACCTAGTCTGTACATTTAGACTAATAAATTCAAACACGGAAGGTGGAAAGCAGGAGTCGAGGGATCAGAGACGAAAGATGAAGAAAAGAGTATATGAGTAAAAGTCAGTTAGCAGATTAAGTGGCTAAAAAGTCTTTGAAATCTAATGGTAGCCAATAGTGTCCCATCATATTTGTTTGAGTCTTTTTAGGTCTAAATATATTATATGTATGGTAAATCATTTTAATGCAATTTTCGATCAAAGATCAACACACCTACAAGTAAATGAATTACAGTCTTTAAAGAACAAGCTAAAGTGCTTTAGGAGTTAACCATGTCCTTCTAACTTTAATGTACCAGTTTAAAGAGAAATCTTAAATCCTTCAAGTTGTCAAACATTCACGAGGAGGCTCTTCCTGATTGATTTGAGCTGTGGGACAAAGCAGGAAGCAATGTGTTTCTATGAGAAGCATTGCCGGTGCAGTACAGTGATTGAGGCACATGCTCTACCTGTCAATGCTTCTATGAGAAACATCAGACTGGCTTGGAGATCAACAGTACTGTGATTCCAACACCATCAGCAAATGTGTTTAGAATGTGTGTTATTTAACATCTTAAATCACAGATCCTATCATTCAAGTATCTCGCAAAATGGTCTTAAGATCAAGGTTGTATTATGCAAAATAAAGAATACCATGTGTATTGAACATAATATGGTGTTTAAGAAGTGAAAAGGTGCATTTTTATGAAAATTAAAATGAGTGCCAATTGAAAAGTAACTTAAGCACTGCGTTGGACACAACCAGCAAGATGGGAAAAAAAAAAGTAGAAAGGCCAAAAATAGTCCGACAATGTGAATATATTTGCTTCTCTTGCAATAATACCACCTATTGTACATATTGCGTACTGTGTGCATTATATGGTTTAAGTTAGAATGATGAATATCATCATGAATATATTGTATTTTATATTAAAGGGCACCGATGGATTTTTTTAACTACCTTCAATGATACCACACAATACAGAAAGTGACTAAGTAGGTGGACATTGAAAGTTGTCCATCATGGAAACTGTCCATCCGACAGTCTGTTGTAAGAAGCTTCTAGTAAGAAATGCAGGTGGGGCAAGAAGAGCTATAAAGGTGTGACTTTTCCAACTAACAAATCACCTGCACACCTACGAGTCAATCTATAGCTTGCAATCTTCTAGATCTACCATTCACAAGCCACCTCTCCCAACCTTGACACCTCCCAATTATAACACACCTCTCTAAACCTCGACACCTACCAATTATAATCCACTCACAAACTCTATAATGATCAGTCACTAGCCACCTCTCGCAAGCGCTCTACATGCACTCTCACCCGTTACAATATGCAGCTCACAACCTCTACACCGGTTAGTCACGAGACACCTCTCAACGTACGTAAACGTAATTATAAACCACCTACTGCACGCTCTATGACCTACAGACAATCACTGATTATATCTAGCCATGAGTGCTCATCTGCAGTCACCATGCACTTCCTACTGACCCTTATTGGAACACATCCACCCCAGAAGGACTCTTGCTATATTTTACAATGACCAATGTCAACATGCTTTAAAACAAGAGTATCTCTGATAACAGCAACCACCACTTAACTCACATTTCATAACTCCCTGCACACAAATTCATATTTCATGCAAGCAAAAACCCATTTTTCATCTCCTAGGAATGAGAAACTTACATGCACTCTGCTTAACCAAATTATACCACGTGAAAACATTTTTCTTAGATTCACATTTTCCATTCAGAAACCTTTTAAATGATATGTTCCTGCAACCTCTATATTACTGAACTTACAGCAAAATATCTCTCATGCATTTATACTTCATACCCAACACATGTAACAAGGCAGCTATAGCGCTGCTCTAGAAGATAGATAAAAGTTATAATTTATTGGTCATGGCTTTTCTTGTACTGCATCCCTCTTTGCATTATGCATTTAGTTTTATTACAGTAATGTTTAAAGGGACACTATAGTAACCAAAAACAACTTTAGCTTAATGAAGCAGTTTTGCACTATAGATCATGTCACTGTAGTAAAAACCTTTAAAGTTACATGTAGTTGATAGTGAACATTTTTTCATGCAGGCTGTGTGAATCACACACAGGGGAGGTGTAACTAAGACTGCATGGACAGAAACAAAAGTGATTTAACAATTAAAACGGCAGTGAATTGAGCAGTCAAACTTCAGAGAGATGATCTATACATTAAAACTGCTTCATTAATCTAAAGTTGCTTTGGTGAGTATAGTATTACTTTAAAGTAGCAGTTTTGCTGTATAAATCATGTCCCTGCAGTCTCACTGCCATTTAGTAGTTAAATGACTGTTTATGCAGCCCTAGTCACACCTCTCTGCATGTGATATACACAGCCTTCTAAACACTTCATTTATTGCAAATTCCGTTTTAATTTAAAATATTGTATCCCCTACACTGTTACTAGCTTGCTAGACCCTAAAGAAGCCTCCAGGGTGTGATTAAAATTAAATTTAGAGAGCAGGAGATAAAACTTTTGAAGTAACATCTGAGAGTCACAACCAGGGGAGGTGTGGGTAGGGCCACATACACAGAAACAAAAGTGAGTTAACACCCAGAGAATTGAGCAGTGAAACTGCAAGGGCATGATCTATACACCAGAATAGCTTCATTAAGCCAACGTTGTTTAGGTACCTATCCTGTCCAACATTTTTATTACAATTCCTCCACTTTCAGTTACTCAAACTATGAGGCTCTAGTGAACTCCTTTCCTACTAATAGCTTCCAATTACAAGCAATTTCAACAGTTCATTTTCTAAATCCTACATTTTGACAGCTGAAGTAGATATCCTTAACTTGGTGCAACTAAAATGCAATTTTGAGGCACTATTGAAAGCACAGTGATTTCATAATTCATCATATAGAGCTATGCACACAGGAAAACTAGTAATGAAATGTATGCTCCCACTGGTGAGTAATTAGGAGAAACAGATCACACAAAAGTAGCAAAACAAACAGATGTGTACTGCAGAATGGAAATATGAAACTAAATGTTTGGGCATAATGTACTAATCATTAATAAAGCCACTTAGCCAAAATGTAGGTTTTATGAGTCCATTCTGCAATAAAATTCGGTTTGCTATGTTACTACTATTATGCTGGTCAACTGTTTCTCCTATTAACCATTTACCAAGCAGACTAAGGTTTTTCAACAGATTTTAATTGGTGCTGAAGTTTTGATATTAGCATAGGGAAGATTCACTTTAACCCCTTAAGGACCAAACTTCTGGAATAAAAGAGAATCATGACATGTCACACATGTCGTGTGTCCTTCAGGGGTTAAAGGAACAACTAAGTGCTAACAATACAAACATGTTGAGGTGACCGGTCCTTTTTAGAATGAAGTTTAAAGGAGTTTTACTTACACTTGTTCTCTTTCATTGTGCTGATCTTACCGCGGCTGGGATCAATTTTTATGATCTCGGCAAATCCAAAGCTTTCCCATAGGAAATCATTGGAAGGCTATTGAGCATGCGCAGCAAAACGCCACACTGCGCCAATCAGCACCTCCTCATAGAGATGCTTCTCTATATGGAGCACCCATCGTAACTATGCAGAACGTTTTGCAGTATAGATCATGTCACTGTAAGCAGCACTGAAATAGGAAGCACCTTTAGAGGCCGTACCTAGAGGTGCTACTAGACAACAATATAAACACTACATTCTGTCTAGCAATGTAAACACTGTCTTTTCTCTAAACAGGCAGTGTTTGCATTGCTGAGCCTGAAGGGACATGCTATAGACACCAAAACCACTAAATTAGGCTGTGTTGGTTATACGGACTATAGTGTCCCTTTAATTAGAGGCAAGATTCCATCAATATGAGATATGCGGTGAGCTATTTTTGTAGAGATTAGGGTTTGTAACCAGTTTAAAAAACAATAAAAGAGCACTTCCGCATGGACAATCTAAGTGCATTTGATAGGTTTTGGGCTCATATAAAACGCATTTTGTTTTTTTTGTTATTTTATGTTTTGCAGCTTTTCACAAGCAACTTCATTATTAGACACAGAGAATATACTAAACCCAGTCAATGAAAGAGCCAGGTTGCTGACAGTGCCTAGCAGCCAAACACTGTCTTCTGTTTCTGATGATTGGTCCGCTTGCCCCCTTGCATGTCTTTAACATACAGATAAGAGGAAAAGAGGTAATTGTTAGTGGCAGAGTCGGCTCAGCAGCTCCACTTAACCGTTTACCTTCCAATCAGATTACTTGCAAAAAGTCGATCTATCCCAAAGTAAAAAGATCTGAACATGGAAAAAAACAAAAAACTAGCATAAATAGGACAAAACTGATCAAATGACCTTAAAGGTTGGCATGACCTATACACTAAAACTGCTTCATTAAGCTGAAGTTGTTTTGGGGACTATAGTGTCCTTTTTAGTTGTTATGGCACCAAGGATGTTCCTTTAAGTCTCATATCAGGATTAAATTTTTCTTTTTTCATATTCTCATTTATTTACAATTTTCCTTTGTGGGCTCAAAGAGTCAACTTAAGAGTTTTGGTGAATAAACCCCCAATACTCACACAGGACAGCATATAACCCTTCTATGTTTTGAAAGCCCACTAATCCTCTGCTAGAACACCACACTACCTAGGCAATTATTATTGTAGATTCATAACAACCTTGCTACACAAAAACTTTTAAACTCCAGATTTAGCAACAGAAACCTCTTCCATACTGTCCAAAGTTCTCATTCTGCATAACAGAATTTCTCATTCCAAGATCTAAAAGCTAAAGCCCAACCTTTTGTGCCAATATTGTCAATACTGGTCTCTCCAGTATCCATCAACCCCATTCACACACTCCACTCAACAACTGCCATGCCCATTCCAATGCTCACACCCAACACTACTGCCTAACATTGCTTTGGAAATAAGTTCTGACACATTACCAATTTCTCCCAATTCTCAAAGTCTAGAACTACATTTGTCATGCCCACACATTTTTACACACTCTGGCCAACACCTGTAGTGTTTCGCCCATTACCATAAGCCTCTCAAAATATTTTTCCGTTTGGTTTTCTTTCCACCGTTCCCAACACTAACCAGATTCCCCATTTTCCAAATTTTACTCAACATATGGGGCCAAACCCCTTCAATGACAACGCTTAGTCATCACCACTGACCCCTACTACTCTATGGCCCGCAGCAATCGTTTCAAGATGCACTCTCTTCGCCCAGTTGTCGACCTCAATCTGAAATTCCTCTAAGCCTTCTTCCCATTTCCACAACCATATAAACACTGGCCCTACTCAGTTTCTAACTCAGCCCCTATCCTCTAGCACCTGTTCCCCAATCCCACCGTCCAATCACAATCCACAATACCAAATTATCACTGCTGATTCTCCCATTCTCTAGCTAATAGGTATTATCTGTCCTATTCCCTAAAGTTCCATTAAAAAAAAAAAAAAAAAAAAAACCTTCCCACTTTCCATTCTGTGCACACCTACAGATCCAACAGTCACTGTGCAAAATCAGTAGCCCACTGAACTGTCTCTTTACTCAAAGTCTCAACATTATGCTGTCTTATTCCTTAGTCTCTTCCATTTTTATTCAACATATAAATATGTCCCTTTAATCTGACTATTGAATTCAACACCCTTTATACTCACACTCCCAGCCATAACATTCTCATACTACTGCCCTCTTTGTTCTGCATCAACATTTGATGTCCAGATTCTCCCATGCTATCCAGCCAACAGCACATCAATTTTCTCTCCCAAATCAACCTTATTCTTTCTTTAGATGGAGCCATCCCCATTCTTGGTCTTTGCTTGGCATCTGTTGCCCTCCATCCCCATTCTGTAACCTGCAACAGCCACCCCAGTCAACAGAATCTACTCATGGTCTACCACATCTCTCACCCCTATTCTCACACACACCGTCCACATTTCACAGCCTCTATAAACTCAATCTGCCTGTTTCAAAGTTAAGAGTAGACTACAGTACATTTTTCATATAAACAGATTCTTTTTCGTTTTACTTCTCGGTTGTTCGGCAGCTTGTGACCCCTTCTTACACTCCATTCAAATTTTACCACCACCCACTTACTATCCAACAACCATTTGCAATCTCATTCAACGTGTCCCCCCAAAATGTGCACCTCATTCTCACTTTCCAACACAAAGCCACCTCAAATCTTACTTTGCACCCAACAGATCCCAATTCTCCAACCTTTGCAAGCATCTCCTCCTACCTTTGTGTCTCTCCCCTTCCATCCTTTATTCTCTGATTGGCAACACTTATAAGTTTGCATTTAGATGTAGGACATCATTTTCCTCAAAGAAATCCAGGAGTAAGGTTGGTTTACAATTAATGATGGGTACGCAGATGCAGCAAAAAAAGATTTTCATGCATAGCAACTGTTCAGATGTTCAAGCTAAACACTTTCACTGCTGGCATACATGACATTTATATGTTTTAAACTAAAAAAACCCGAAATGATTGCATTTTGTGTTGAGGGAAAAACAATCAACAAAATCAATGTAATCTGTTTCAACTATGATTCTATGAATCCACATGAACTATAGGAGATCCTCATTACTGTTCTTTTGTGAAGTAAATGCATATGTTTGATAGTATATTAGAGGCTTGTGGCTGAATCTTGTTTCCCCACCGCAGGTGTCTGTAGAGTTCTCTTACCACGTATAATGATTATACGTTACCAACAAACATGATGCAATAACCATCTTTTTTTATCATACTAAAAAGTTTCACCCGCATCACTTTAAGGTGTCTAAAGATTATGCGCACAACTCTCCCCGTGTATGGGTACTGCCCAGAAGACCTAGATATTGTGAGAGTATGTGGTTTTATTTATTGTCATGGAGCGTGAAGAGGTCCAGTTTTTATTTACTTGGATGTGTGCTTTATTTAGCATCTCTGTACTTTTACATGCACAGCATTCTTTATTTATAAAGAGAAAATCTTGGCATACACAGTGTAAGTAAAAAACAGTACACAATGCTGCATGGGTGCAGGCATTAGAGAATAAATGAATGTTCAAAACTTGCTCTTTGGCATTTGTTAGCAATCCCTCCCACCAAAACACCCTAGGCTGACATCCAATGCATTTTTTAGAAATATACATAGACCACTTGGGGAAAATAGCAATAGAAACTATGGAAAAGGGAGTAGTTATAAACCTGGCCTCTCTAATCGCCTCCTTATGCGCCTGGAACATCTTGACGTTGTTCATGTTGGACTGCCAATACTTAACATAGCCACTGTGGTCAGCAGTCAGCATCCACATATCATTGTGGGACCATGTCATGGCACGAACCGGGCTATCGTGAGCCTGTGTACGAGAAGAGGAAAAATGGGAATTGCATTATTTTCAACGAGTGAACACATTCTTACCAGGCATGAATTTGTAAAGTCTGACTAATATTCTAAAAACAAAAAAACAACGGAGATCTTAGAGCGGACGTCCTATTGCGGTCTAATGTAGCATGCAGATAAGCTCACTAGTCTCCCTTAATGGTCCCTGTATTTCAGTGTGTACAGTTCAATTATGAGATGTATTTCATTTCCAGCCAGGGTCTCTCACTTTCTGTCAGGGATTAGTGCAAGCCTGCATTGTCTTGGATTTGGTAAAAACATATCAGGCCTATTACAAACATTTATATTTTTTCAGTTTGTAGAAAAGATAAAAAGAAAGAAGTTCCAAAAAGTTGGCAAGCCTAAAAATCTTAATAAGAAACCCTCAAAATCTCTCAATGTTTCTTTAGTTCCTTTAGGATCTCATCATTGGAAAATGTAAAAATGTGCAGTGCTATGCAGAGTACTTACCTGCAAAATAGTTTCAAAATTGAATGTGAGCCCATTCCATAAAGTGAATTCTCCACTGGAAGCTCCAGTTACCAAGCGGCGCCCTTCAGGGGTCCACTGCAACACAAGATATATTTTTAAAAAAAAGAAAAGGTTAGTAGAATCGTTAAATATAACTTCCTCAAAAATACAGATATACACATTGAGAGAACATTACTCATAACATCCATAATGGCAAATACTCACCCTCACTACAAATACCGGACATTTTACTTTGTTGGTAGATGTGCGCACAAATTTGGTGGTCACAGCATTCAGAGGGTTGTTAATCATTCCGATGGGAGGAACAAGCTGCATGCAACAAAAATCAGTATGCCCCATCAGTATGGAAACGCTCAAAAAATTATATTTCAAATGGCTTTTAAAATCACAAATTATTTTTATTAAAAATATACATCTAATTTTCAGTTAAGTAAATGATGCAGATATTACGGTCCCACTCACTGATACTGACCCTGCCAAGCTTCAATATTAATATACAATATTCTGAGGGTTAAATAAGTACTAGAGATATTGCAGTTGAAGCACAGACCACTGTAGGACTTCTGTCACCTTAAACAAAATAAATTAAAAAGACCAGGATAACCTCCAGGTCCCCACTTTGTTCAATCATTTTACACTATACTCAAATATGAGTTTGCATTCTATATCTTTATCACATTCAATATATTTTTCTATAAGAAAATTTTGTGGTTAGGAGTCTTTATATATTGGTTTCATTTAGGGGTATATTTGCCAGCTTTTTAAAATAACTGTATTATACCGCTTCAGTCATTAGCATTTGGGGGTTTTTCTTTCAATTAACCCAGTGCCTCCTTATTTTATCACCCACTTATTTTTTTCTCTAGTTCTACTAGCTATAGGGCTCTATGGCCAAAAGCTTTATTTGATTTATTAGTTGGTTCTTATATGTTCAAGCCCACTCCTCTAGGATGGTCAATTTAGTGATATTTTGAAAACGGTGCGGTAATGCACCCTCTCATTGTCTCGGAGGGTGGGTGTCCAGTGGCCTTTTCCCTGTGCATTATTTGTTTAGCTCAGTTGTAATACTTCAGTTGCTCAATTTTGTCCAAGTTGAGCATGCAGACTATGCATAATGTATACACAACTAAGCTCATTTAGCCTTGCTGCAGACAGACCTGCATTTGTACTGAACCTTTCCTTATTTTATATATTGTTTATTAAAATGTGTTTAAAAATAGGGTGTTTTCCCATTACAGTTGCCCTTCAAAGCATACCAATCACCATATCCACAACAATGGCCTTGTGCCCCCTATTGTAAGAAGTCTGTTTTAGAATGTTCTGACTTCCTCACCAGGGGCTGCTGGAACTGCTCATCTCCTCCTCTATGCAGCCAGGTGGACTATACTCAGTAAGAGTATCCTGAATGCTGTAGTGGAGGCAGGGACTTGTGCATGCCAATCCCAAATCCCAAGATGAAAGTGAAACTGTTACAAAACTGGTGGGGGCAGGTCTAAAACTTACATCATTGTAGGATCCAGCATCTGGCTGAATGGCTCTCATATCTCTATAATCTCTCTGCCACACACGATTCTGTGAAAAGAAATACAACACATGCAAGCTTTATTAACAGAGCAATTTTGACATCTTTCCTGCTTGATTGTACAATCATAAAGTCCTTGATCTCATTTTGAGTACCCACACATCTATATTTACACTTTTTGGCCATTTAACAACCAATATCCAAAAATTGGAGAAATACTTCGATGGCACACTGTAGGCTAAATCACATTGAACGGTTTAGTGTCTAGAATTACCTAATGCTGTTCTGACATTCAGCATAAACAGTTTTTACTGGTTTAATGCTAAACAAAAGTCACCAACAGCCTATCCACTCTGTGCTGCTTTAGATAGTGAGAAATCCTTGCCTGAGCAGCAATGGCTGGCTGTGATTGGTTGAGAGTGTCAGCTGACCACTTACAGATCCCTTACTTAGTGTTAAAATGCTCAAAATGGTTTAACACTAAGGAGAGGGAGTCCAAGTGAGGGCATTTTCTGATTCAGCAGGTCTCTGTCTCATTAGGCTGAACCACAGATTAAATCACCAAATAATGGCTGAGCACAAACATTTAATCAAGCGAATTCCCATTCCCATGCTGCATATAGCAAATATGTCTTCCCCACATTTGGCCACTGCTGATAAAGGAGAGTGGCATGATTTTTAAAAGACACCGTACTCACTATAATAATTTCATCTAATTAAATTCATAATCATGCCTGGAGTTTCCTAGCACTGTCACTCAATTCATTGTTAAACCATTTTTGAGCAGTTTAACACTAAGTAACGGGCAGAGCTTAAAAACTTTCTTCTAGCCATACCGATTCATAGCCGCCATTGGCACTGAAATAGGCTGAAAGCGTTCACCTGACACTCTCAGCTGATGATCGCTGACCATTACTACTCTGGTTAATGCTTCCTCATTAGCCCAAGCAGCAGAGAGGATCAGTTACAGTTATTTGTTCAGCATTAAAAACTGTTTAACTCTGAATGGAAGGACACTATCAGGGGACTCCAGACATTATAACTGCTTCGATGAAATGAAGCAGTTACAGTGCCTACTGTGTCCCTTTAAATGACACCGTGGTCTCCCAATACCAGCAGATAGACAGTGCTGCTACAAAGTCTGCATCATGGAATTATTCTGTCAAAAAATGTAATAATTTCAAATTATTTTTTTTTTTCTGAATTCTACAACGTTCTTGCTGGACTGAAACATTGAAGGGACACTATAGGCACCCAGACCACTTCAGCTCCCTATTGCACTTAGTGCTACAATGTAAAACATTGCAAAAATAAAACAAGGTGAAACATTACAGCACTAAGACAGCCACTAGAGGGAGCTTCCGGAATGTTACCGGACTTTTGGTTCCGCTATTTCCCAATAGGAAAGCATTGAGTCAGCCTATTGCTTGCGCGGCATTCACATGTGCATTAGCACTCCTCATCGAACAACCTCAGAGTAGGCAGAGTCATGACCCCTTGCAAAGGGACATTGGGATAGGGCACGAGGGAGGGGGGAGGCAGAGGGAGCTATAGTGCCAATAATGGCACTATAGTATCCTTTTAAAATACTATATTTTTACTATAATTTACTCACCATGGTAAAGACATAATATCTCAAGTGTAGTCTTTAGGGAAAAGGCAGTTGGAATGCAAAACGATAGTGACTTTCTTACAGAAAAAGTAGGTCTTACCTCAAGGTATTTGATAACAGAAGGATTATAATCTATAGTCTTGCGGTTCACAGCCTTACGCATACGTTTTCCATCAAATGTAAGCTGCTGCATGGCCTGCTGTTGTGCATAGTCAGGCCTTTTATAGAAGAGTTGTCGGGGAGCTTGATGCTGGAATCGGGGCATGTGGAAAAACCGAGGTGGTGAACCAATTTCAGTTGCCATGGTGATGGTTTACGAGGGGACAAAGATGGAGAATCCTAAATACAAAGGAAATATCAAAGGCAATATGTCAGATAAAAATCTTGAAGTAAAGATCTATTATATTTTGACTGTTTTCATCAAATTGATTTACTGCTTTTTAAGTAAATACTTATTGCATTACTTGATTACTAAACTTTTTCAGAAGACATGGTGACCCTAGGCTAAATACAATCATGTTAGCAGCAGCAATGTTTGCAACATAGTGCAGTTATAAGGCACTCTGGGATGGGAAAATAGGCAAAATCGATCACAGTCCAATGAAAGCATGTAACATATTGACATACAAGGGTTTATGGTAGCTAGACTGTTCCTTTATTGGCACATGATACTGACCTACTCACGGACTATGTGGAAACGTCTCCCATAATGCTCTTAAATAAAAAATGCTGGCAAAGCATCAAGGGAGATAAAGTCTACAAAATTTGTGCTGAAGGTTGCCTATGATAACATGCGAACGTGAGCAAACTTGACTTTAGTTAAAAAGTGAAAACGTTTTAATGGAGCGCTTCTTTAAACATTTCCAGTAATGTACCCAAGGATGAAGCAACGTTGTACAACACAAGCAATTTAGAAAACAGGAGTGAAACAATATTAAAAGTTTTCTGTCAAAAAACAAACCAAAAAAAGCCTTTGCAACCATACATGCCTACACATTTCTAAATGGAACCATGGTGGAAAAGCCTAGATTGGTCAAATTGGAGTGTGTGGTTAAATGAAAGCCAAAAGAGAGAGAAAAAAAAAGCAGTGTAAATGACACTACAAATGGCAAAAAGAGAAAACAGTGCAGCTTTAAAGGACCACTCTGGGCACCCAGACCACTTCAGCTTAATGAAGTGATTTTCACAGTGAGAAGACGCCAGCGTCCATAGGAAAGCATTGTGAATGCTTTCCTATGAGACTGGCTGAATGCGCGCGCAGCTCTTGCCGCGCATGCGCATTCAGCAGGAGAGGAGCCGGAGAGCTCCCCACCCGGCGCTGGAAAAAAGGTAAGATTTAACCCTTTCCTCGCCATCCAGCATGGCGGGAGTGGGACCCGGAGGGTGGGGGCACCCTCAGGGCACTATAGTGCCTGGAAAACTAGTATGTTTTTCTGGCACTATAGTTGTCCTTTCACCCCTTAAGGACACATGACGTGTGACATGTCATGATTCCCTTTTATTCCAGAAGTTTGGACCTTAATCACAGCATTTTAACTAAAATACAAATTAAGAAAAACAAAAGTGGAAGCACACAATATACAACTTGCGTACACTCAGCTTTGGATTTAATACTTTGGGGATAAACCAACTGCGTCATCTCACTTCACAAAATAATGTATCTGGTGCTTAAATGACCACTATAACCATACAGACTAATTCATCTCGATGCATTGAAGGCGTTTAGAATGGCAAAGCAACATGACAGTTGCACTTCTTCAACATCAAAGAATCTACCTTTTACCCTCCGCTGGCTTATCAGATACAAAATTAGAGCATTTAATGCACTGCAGAATTTGTTGGTGCTTTATAAATGCCAGTAATAAGCAAACAAATGCAATAACATAAGAGCTGCATTCAAGGAACAAATATATTACATAAAAGCTTAGAAACACTCCAAGGGCCATAAACATTAGAGAACTCTGTAGTGGTTATGATTCCAGAATACCATGACGAACTTCCCCTAATAAGTATTTAAACCTTTTGCTAAAGTTATCTTCTTAACTCTGCATGAGGAGAGCCAGAAGCTCAAGTTTAGTTGCTTCCATTGGCTCTCCTGTCCTAAGTAATACAGTGCAAAGCTGGCTCATTGGCTGAGAACATCAACTGATCACTCTCAGTTTAAGTCAATGAGCTAAGCCCTGGACTAGGGATCGACTGATTATCGGTCTGGCCGATATTCTGTATTTTCAGCAAATAAAGATCCCGATATAGCTGATAATACAAACCAGGGCCCAGCACACTCTTACTTACCTTCAGCTCCCCTAACTCCCGCGGCCGCCAGAGCGTTGCCACGGGTTACCATGGCACACAGGCCACGAGAATTAGACAGGGGAGCTGATGGGATGTAAGAGTGTGCTGGGCCCCGCAGGACTGCCGCAGACCCCCTAGCGAATGCCATATCCCCCCTCCATGGCCAGGTAAGAAACAGGGAGGGGGGACTAAAAGAAAATGTAAAAAAAAAATGTAATATTAAAAAAAAGCAAAGAAAAAATTGCCCCCACTCCCATTTTACACACATTACATACCTACAAAAACACTCACTCACACACACACACACACCACACAAACACTCATTGCATTCACTATACATACACACTACACATTCACACTAGACAAACACTGCATTCATGATATACACACACTGCATTCATGATATACACACACTGCATTCATGATATACACACACTGCATTCATGATATACACACACTGCATTCATGATATACACACACTGCATTCATGATATACACACACTGCATTCATGATATACACACACTGCATTCATGATATACACACACTGCATTCATGATATACACACACACACACACACACTACATAAACTCACGATGCATTCACTATGCACAGACTACATACACTGCATTCATTAATCAAATACTCTCACTGCATCCACTACACACACATTTTCTTGAAAACAAAAAATTGACCGACATGTATAATTTGTGCATTTACCTTAATAATAATAATTAAAAAAAAAAGATTTGCAGAATAAATAAATAATAAACATACTCAGCTAACAGTAGACTTGTGTAGAAATAGTTTATTTTTTCAAAATGGTAAATGTACAGAATATCAGTAAGTTATCGGCCTGTAAGTTCACAGCTTAAAAAAAATGTGGCTACATACAAAAGGTGACAGTAAGTCGTAGGGGCAGGGCAGTAACACACAAAGTGCTGTAGTTGTTATGGTACTTGGAGTCTCCATTTAAGTTAGTTGATTTTAAAGTCACCTATTTATGTTTCTTAAATAGCTAGCCAGATAGATTCAATATTTCTTGCCCACGGTTAAGACGTATATTCATGTAACCAGGTAAAGGGTGGCATTGAGTTGATGCTTTCCGATGAGGGAAGGCCTAATGCACATGCAGCATCACTGTAACGTTCCTTAACTTCAACACATATTAGAAATAGCAGAGAATGTCTTCACTCACTAATTTCAGTAAATCACACATAACAAGGACTAAACTATAGGGGTTTTAAAGTACACTTTACCAGCTAAGTAGCGAACCAAACTAATTTTAAACATGCAGAGTACTTTAATCGTATATCTCAAGACAAGATAAAATTACATGAGATTCTTAAAACAGTACAATGAATTGTAGTAAACACAGTTAAAGCCCGGTATTTGACCAACACTACTCCACATGCACTCAATTTAGAGGTCAAACTGTATCAAGTAAATCAAGTAAACAGAGAGCTGGACACATGCTTGGTGAGGTTTCATCGATTTCTCCTTTTCAATGTTTATACTCAAAATCCAATGAAATTATTTCTTATTCAAGTTTGAACAATGAGATGCACATTATAAATCTAATTAGCAGTGGACACATGTGCCGGAAGCCCTTGTGCATTTACATTTGCAGATACCTGCCTCCAATGTACATCAGACACCAGGAAGACAACGCTTGACAGGACAGCCAGAGGAATTTGACAGTAAACGAAAGTTTCACTTCAACATTAAACCATAACCACCCCTGTTCACGAAGAGGAAAGGGTCTGGCATTTTGAGCTGACCCCAATTTCCTCCTGTTTTAATTTATTTTCTTTTTTTTCTTCAAAAGGGAGTTTGAGAGTCGAGCCACTATCAGTACAAATTCAAATGTTTCCTATGAAAAGCTTTTGGATGAAGGATATGTGAGGATGACATCTTAGAAACAATTAAAAGATACAGTGAATTAGGGGTCGACCGACATTTTTTTTTTTAGAGCAGATATCGATAATCTGAACTTTCAGACAGATAGTTTACAGATATTCTGTACATTTAACTTTTTTTTTTAATTAAGTGGTAATTGCACAAAAATATACATGCCAGTCAGATTTTTTTTTAAATGTTTGTAAGAATATTTGTGTGTGTGAGTAGTGGATGCAGTAAGAGTAATTGATTAGTAAATGCAGTGTGTGTGTAGTGGATGCAGTGTGTTTGTGTGTAAATGTGTGCAGTAGGAACTCCCCTCACGTGTCTCTTAGTGGTCCCCCCCCTACCCCAGTTTTATTTTTCCTTCCCTCCCCTGTACCTTAGTGTCCTCCCTTAATGTTCCTCTCTCCCTCCTAGTGTTCTTTACCCCCCTTCCCTGTCCCATAGTGTTGTTCAACCCCCCGATCCCTGGCCATCAGTGAACACTTCCTTTCAGTCTGGACCGGTACAGGAAACATAAGTTCCTGTACCGCGGTGTGCACTGCTCCGCTCGGCCACGCTACACAGAGCGCCTGGCAGGAGTGAGCGCTGTGCGACCACCTTCTGCCGGTCATTCCGATTAACCCCCCTCCCCCCCGAGCCAGTGCGCCATAAGGCGGCTGCTTGTGACGCCTTATGGACATGCCGGCCCACTCATTCATTATCGGTATATTGCCAGTGATTATCGGCCGATACCGATATTTAAAATAAATAAATCTGAATATCGTCCAATCCCTACAGTGAATGCACTAAAACTACTTAAATCAAAGTGAATTGGGTATAGTGCATGAAATTCCTAAAACTGACAATTCAGCGTTAAATTATTTTGGAACAGTAACACTAAATAACAGTTTCTAGCTACCCAAAGCCAAACACTGGTTAAGGCAAAAACAACACATTTCCTTCTAGCCATGCCAGCAATGAGCACTGTAAAAGGCTGAAAGTGGTCAAGTGATACTCTCTGCCAAACATAGCTGCCCACTGCTGCTCAGGCTCATGATTCCGCAGCAGAGAGGATTTTTAAAACCTTAAAAACTATTTAACAACGAATGGCAGTGCGAGTGCACTCCAGACCCTATAACAACTTCAATCACATGAAGTAGTTACAGTGCCCACAGTGTCCCTTTAAATGATTGCATGATTGAAAAGCTTGAGGTGGGCCGCGGCTAAAAACGAGGGAGGCGGACCGCGGGCGGCTAAAAACGAGGGAGGCGGACCGCGGGCGGCTGAATGAGCACTGCGACGATGGAGCTGTAATTTGCCTGCTCTACTCCCTCACATGATGCCGGGAGCTTACATATGATGTCATTTTCAGTCCCAGGCTCCATAAACAACGCTCTAGGGAGCAGAGAGATGACAGCAGTCCAACTGGACCCCGGGGAAAGCTAATCCACTCCAGTTTCCCCAAAAGTAGGAAGGCTGGGTGGATTTAAAATAATAAAATTAATGGTCTGTGAGTGTGAGGTTGTCTGTCTGTGTCAGTCAGTGTTTAGGTGACCTGCCGCAAGAAGCACTTCTAGAGGCCGTCTGAGTGATTTTCACAAGAGGTGTTACCAGACAAATGTTAACCCTACTTATAGTCTGAAAAGTCAGTGTTTACATTGACAAGCGTGCAGGGACACTGTTCTGGTGACTATAGTGTCCCTTTAAGAATTATATTTTTGACGATTAAAAATCTGGCTCCTAGATTTCAAACAAATTTGTCAAGCCCTGATTTTATATATCTCTATACATATACACACATACACACACACTTTGCACTCTTTTTTGAGATTTGTAAGTTTTGCACAACTCTGAGGTGTGTGTGTGTGTGTATTTAATTTGTGGTAAAATTAAGCACTACCCAAATAATTGCAATTTTGGCAGAAATGCCTATGAAGTATGCAATGATAGCGGAGCTTACCACTGACCTGGTTAAGATCATCAAGCAAAGCAACTGCAGGACCACCAAAGCACAAACAAGCGTACACAGATTCAAAACTGGCATATTTATACCAGTGCACATGTGCAGTTACAGCTGATAAAGACCGTAAAAGAAGAAGCCATCACAGATCTTTAAGGAACTACAGTGCGGTTATTGATTGTGGTGCCAGGGGTGCCTTGGCACCACTCCAAATGTAAATAGTCAAACTACTTTAGAATGGAATAATCTCCTAACTGGGGTTAAAACAGACTGCTCCATGCCCCCATTAGATTCACTGGAGAGCCATTGGTTGGTTTCCGAGCTAAGCCTGACTCAGCTGACTCATGAAAGCCAATTAAAGCTTCCAAGCAGGAGCTTCTGGCTCTCTGTTGGCTATAGTGGAGGTGAACAATGGCACCTGGAAGACTACAAATAAAAAAGTAAAACCATTCAAAACCAATTTGACTACTTTCATTCTGGCCCATATTCACTACCGCATGCTGTAGTAGTTATGGTGCTTGGTGTGTTCCTTTAATATAAAACTGCAGCAGCTGCTTTATTAGATAAGCAATCTGACTTCTATCCCAAATATGCGTTATGAAGCTTTGAGATTTAGTCAGATTTAGGGATCGACCGATTATCGGTTTGGCCAATATTCTGTATTTTCAGCAACATCGGTATCGGCCAATACCGATGACAATGCAGACCAGGGCCGCCATCAGTGTCCTGGGAGGCCCAGCACACTCTTACTTATCTTCCCAGCAGCAACCCTGTCTAACGCTCACGAGTCCCGCGGCTGTCAGAGCGTTGCCACGGGTTACTATGGCAACGCTCCGTAGGCACACGAGAGCTAAAGGGAGCTGCTGGGCCCCCCAGGGAATGCCATATCCCCCCTCCCTGGCCAGGTAAGAAGCAGGGACTAAAACATAATTTAATTTAAAAAAAAATTATAAAATTTAAATTTACACACATTACATACCTAAACAAACACTCATGGCACAGACACTACACAAACACACTCTGAATTCACTATACACTCTCACTGCATCCAAACACACATATATTCTTGGAAATATAAAAAATTCGGACTGGCATGTATATTTTGTGCATTTACCTTAATTTAAAAAAAAGATTAGCAAAAATAAATAAAATAAACATATACAGTTACATTAGATTTGTGTAGAAATAGTTATTTTTTTTTTTTTTTAAATGGTAAATGTATAGAATATCGGTAAGTTATCAGCCTGAACGTTCACAGATTATCGGTACTAAAAAAAATATCAGCCAATCCCTAGTCAGATTTAGATTGTATGTGAAAGACAGGTCCAAGGAGCACATAGAAGATTGCAAAATATACATTAGTTCTAAAAATAATGAAAAGTAATAAAGGCAAGAATCTGAGGTTCCTTTGTCTATGCCACACAAATCTGCTTCCCATAAACCAAAGCAATAACTGCTACATAATGCCAGGTCACCATAGTGATTCAGAAATTGGACCCAGAACGGAGATTTTGTTCATATGTCAGTTAAGGGGGAGTTCAACAAATCTCTCGATTGGCAACCACAGCACATAAGAGAGTATGTCCAACTAAGTCATAAGGGTTCTAAGCTGGAAAACATATGGGCCTATGGAATCACAGCACTGTGGAAACTAACTTGAAGGTAGTGAGCAGGTGCTCACATCACACAAATACACAATTATACAATTAAATATTTTGCCCATGACTAGAGGCAGAGCATGGGTGCTGCAGATCAAATGAGAAAATGCATGCATTGTAGTGGTTATGGTGACATGACTGCCCTCAAACCGCTTAAGAATCCCCTAGGTTCCACTTCGCACCAATCATGGTTAGAAGTTATAATGAGGAGCTTCCGTAAAAGGACACTACAGTAACCAGAACAGCTACAGCTTAAAAGAACACTATAGGGTCAGAGACACAAAAAAGTATTCATGACCCTATAGTGTTAAAACTACTATCTAGCCCCCCTGAGCCCCTCATGCCTGCTTAATATAGCAAATTCTTACTTGTATTCAAGCCTTAAGCGGTAGCTCTGCATGCTGTTTGCCTCCGAATAGCAACCTGTCTGCTGACATCATCAGGAGTGGTGGCCTGATCCAATCACAGTGCTTCTCCATTGGATTGGCTGAGACTGACAAGGAAGCAGATCAGGAGCAGAGCCAGCACAATTCAAACACAGCCCTTGCCAACCAGCATCTCCTCATAGAGATGAATTGAATCAATGAATCTCTATGAGGAAAGTTCAGTGTCTGCATGGGGAGGGAGTAGACACTGAATGTTTGGATGCATTTTAGGCAGTCATGACCCAGGAAGGATCTCTAACAGCAATCCAAGGATTGGCCAGTGAAGTTATCACTAGGCTGTAATGTAAACAGCATTTTCTCTGAAAAGACAGTGTTTACAGCAAAAAACTTGAAGATCATGATTCTACTCAACAGAACAAATTCAATAAGCTGTAGGTGTTCTGGTGACTATAGTGTCCCTTTAATGTAGTGGTCCTTGTGTCTATAGTATGTTCCTGTAGGCTTTTCAATGTAAATTCTGTATTTTCAGAGAGAAGGCAGTGTTTACATTGGTATCTAATAACATCTCTTGTAGCAGTCACTCAGACAGCCACTAGAGGTGCTTCCTAGTCCAGTACTACACAGTGTGCAGCGTCTCCACACAGCTAAATGTTCCCTGTAGAGAGGCATTGATTCAATGCATCTCTATGAAGAGATGGTAATTGGGGCAGGATGGTGTTCTGCCGTGCATGCACAGTAGCCTATCGGAAAGCATTGGAGTGACAGATCATAAAGATTGATAAATCACAAACATGTAGACATGGCCAGCCACGACAAGACCATGGGAGAAAAGCTAAGTAAAATCACCTTTTCAGCACAATCAGAGCAGGGCCGGTCACCTAAAATGCAACATCAGGACTATAGTGTCAGGAATGCATGTTGGTATTCCTGACACTATAGCGTTGCTTTAAGCCCAGTGAGTCTGCCATGCAGGGCTATCTCAATGGAGGAAAGCATCAGCCGAGCACTCTCAGTCAGTGAGGTAAACCATTAAACACTTCAGGGCATAAGCCTGCATTAGATAACACAATCACGTGTAACCCCTACCTCCCCCCGGTGCTCACATGACTTCATACATTAGTGCCTAATCTGATGTTTTTATACTTTTAAGTTTTGTTTTTATTTTCACTAAGCTTAGGCACATACTTGCTGCTGGCACATCTCATGGTCTCATACAGACTACGACACAGTGATACAGGGCTGCTCCGTCTCAGCTACCTTTGATATGTATGTGGCATATTACATACCCTTTAGGTCTGTTATGGACATTGTTTCTTTTTGTCTACCTGTGCTATGACACAGCCAGTCGTTTTCAGTTATTTTAAATCTAAAAATCCTTGTTCTCACTGCTACTTGTACTCAGTAGCAGAGTACAGTATTGTAAGACATATGCCATGTTCCTCGTTTTGCTATTGTATGTACCTCCACTGGTTTCACGTTAAAACGAGTCAGAAATAAAGAATTGTAATTATTTTATTTTTAAATTGTTTTAACTAGTTACTCTGAAAGTAAATATACAGCATGGTGTAGTAGTGGTTAAAGTGCTCAGTGTTCCTTTTAACGTAATCATGATCTAATTTTTGGCATTTTAAAAGAACACTTAAAGCCCAATTACCACCAACAAATTGTAGTGGTTATGATACCAGAAGTGCGTTGGTACCCCTTCCTGCACTGTAAGTTGTCAAACCATTTTATTACCTCTTCTACCGCCAGAGAGTCAGAAGCACAAAGAGCAGTTGTGCAGTTACTTATCCTAGGAGACCTATGTAGGATATTGTGTCTCTCTGGCGCTAGTAGTGTAAGTAGGAGACCACTGGTAAGAAAAGGCAAGCCATTTTAACAATTTGACTACTGGCAGTAGTTATGGTGCTTAGAGTTGTAGTACTTCTTTTAACCACTCCCCAGCTACTATGCTGCATGCAATGTCCAATTTTTAGGCAGATTTGGGACTGGCAGTGAAATCACACGTAGTAAGCACAACATACAAAACCCAACCGTCTTTCCCTGCAATTCTGTTGTATAAAGAAAATAAGGGGGATAGAGGGGAAGGGGGAGAATAGAGGGGCGGGGAGAATAGGGGAAGGGGAGAATAGAGGGAAGTGGGGGGGAGGAATAGAGGGGAAGTGGGGGGGGGGTAGGGGAAGTGGGGGTGGGGGGGGAAGTGGGGGGAGGGAGAGGGGAAGTGGGGGGGGGTAAGTGGGGGGTAGAGGGGAAGGGGTGTCTAACGCCAGCCTGGAATGTCCCTAATAAAGATAAGTGAGATTTGGGGGGAGAGGGAGACTCTGAATATAAAGTTCTCCTTGCTGAATGAGAAGCTGGAGGGGCCTATGCCTCGAACATGGAGGATGTAGGGATACTGCGCCATGTTTCTGCCCAGGGAGCAGCTGAAGCGCTTTCTACCATTAAAACACGAGTCTGTTCGACATAAAATGATAATAAATAACATAACATGTAAATGGAGCTCCCCCCGCCGGGGTCAGTACTGGGATAAACAAACCGAGCTCCATGGCGCGCACACACACAGGGCCTCCTCACCTTCGGCAGCCGCGAACCCTTACACAAACCCCGGGCTCAGCCTCCCGGACACAGCTGCGGCAATAACCCGGATCAGAGACTCCCCGGCCCGCCGGCGATTAACGTTCCCCCCCCCACGACTTATTTCAAACGGCAGCACCGCTCCAGGCCTCACTGCCGGCCGCCATCTAACCTACACTGCGCAACGCCGCTCGGGCCGCGCACACGCACAGTGACGTCATCACGCCAGCCACCTGCCCTCAGCTGAAAGCAGACCCTCAGCGATAACGTACATCCTTACAAACAGAAATACTTTTATTTTTATTTATTTTATTTATTTTTTGCCACTGTTATAATAGTTTCTGGTTTTGTTGCTGAAATACAAGAACAAATGTATTTCGTGTTGTGTTTTTTTTTTTTTTTTGCTAGGCTGTGTTAACGAGCGTCCTATTAAATAAAGTTTAGAAATGTGAAATAAATTTAAAAAAAAAAATAAAAAAAATTGGTCGTAGAAGAGCGTGCGCGGCCGCCATCTTAGTTGGGGCGTTTGGAGGCGTCAAAACGATGTCAAGATGGGGTGTGATTCACCCCTTGCTGCTGGTATTTTATATAAACACGTATTTCAAATGTCTGTTAAATTGTTGCATTTTTACCTTTTTCGTATTTTTAAGATGTGCCCAGGTGTCTCACTTGGTGTTGACGGATATTGTAGTTTCCCCAATAAGTCTGATACTTTCGCACCCTTTAAATTTCTAATTTTAAAGTTCTTATTGAGGTTTGGCACATAGGGTGTGGAAAAAAAAAAAACCCCCTCTAAAAGTACTGGTCTCTAGGAATAGCCCACTGGTTTCAATAGTGACTGGTTCGTGGAGCATAGACCCAGCTTAAATCTAAATCCACATACTATACTTTACTCTAAAAGGGGGGGAGAATTCATTAAATGAACAAACACTGGCCCCAATTTAATATTGTCGGCTAAGCTTTTCAAATGGTTTCATATTTTTGAGGAAACAGTTTAAAAATTATTTAAAGAAACACTATATCGTTAGGAATACAAACATTTATTCCTAACACTATTTATTTGTAAAATATTTTACCAGGGTGGATACATTGAGATTTCTCTTGTTTTCAAATATGTCCTGGGTCCACAAAACATTGCATTGTTACAATAGGATACAATATTACAAAAATACTATATACACACATATGTAAATTTAATACATAACAGGTAATAAATATATTCAACCATGACAGGTGCATTCTTTATTGAGGTATATTGCCATAGATCTATTAAAAGTTTTGTGTCCCTGAGGTTATTCCATAATTGCGGTACTCTGTAGGAAAATGAGGATCGAGCCACTTTATTTTTGTATTGCACTATAATGTTGGACTACCTTTTTAGGTCCTTGTACCCCTCAGATTGGAGATAAGTTAACTTTATTTATCTCTTCTCCATTGCTGGCCCATGGCTGAGATCCTCAATCTTGATGATTTCAGTCAATCCAATGCTTTTCCAGGCAAAAATTATATGGAAAGGCAATGTTTTACATCTCAGGGGCAAAACTACAGGCACATGGCACTCAGACCACTTCAGTGAGATTAAAGAATCACTATAGGGTCAGGAACACAAACATGTATTCCTGACCCTATAGGAAAAACCCACCATTTAGGTGGCTTGCCCCCTCAGAATGGGTTAAAACACACCTCATTTTCTGCTCTCAACGGGTCTGTTAGCGCTGGCCTTGACCCCTTATTGACATCTTCAAAATTGCTGATTTTTAGCAAATCCAATGCTTTCCCATGGTAGTATGTACATGAAAAAGTAAAAAGGTAGTATTTACATGAAAATGCATGAAGGCAGCTGTTATACTCCCCAGAACAACTACATTACGCTATAGTTGTTCTGGTGACTATAGTGTCCGTTTAAGTGGTCTGGTTGCCTAGAGGGTCCCTTTAAATCGAGGCCATTATTGACTAAATACACCTTCTCCTTTAACCCCTTAAGGACTGAGGCAAATGTATACGTTGTGAACGAAACAAAACCTGGCATTTGCGCTACATGTCTGTCCAATCGTAATTCACCTCTTTCTTATTAAATGCACCCACCCTTATTATATATCATATATATTTTATTCAGAGAAAACAGGGCTTTCATTTAAAATCAAATATTTAGCTAAGAAACGTAATTTAATATGAAAAAAATGGGAGAAAATAAGATTTTTTTTTAGTTCTACATTACATTTTAACTGTCAATGTCATAATATTGTTTGCTTTTACTGCAATAAAATACACATATTTGTATTCAGCAAAGTCTCACGTGTAAAACAGTACCCCCTATGTACAGGTTTTATGGCGTTTTGGGAAGTTACAGGGTCAAATATAGCACGTTACATTTGAAATTGAAATTCGCCAGATTGGTTACGTTGCCTTTGGGACTTTATAGTAGCCCAGGAATGAAATTTACACCCATGATGGCATACCATTTGCAATAGTAGACAACCCAAGGTATTGCCAATGGGGTATGTCCAGTCTTTTGTAGTAGCTATTTGGTCACAAACACTGGCCAAAGTTAGCGTTAGTATTTGTTTGTGTGAAAAATGCAAAAAACGCCAATTTTGGCCAGTGTTTGTGACTAAGTGGCTACTAAAAAAGACTGGACATAACCCGTTTGCAATACCTTGGGTTGTCTACTATTGCAAATGGTATGCCATCATATAGGTAATTTTCATTCTTGGGCAATCATAGGGTCTCAAAGGCAACGTAACCAATCTGGCGAATTTTAATGTAAAAAAAAAAATGAAACTCAAGCCTTATATTTGACGCTGTAGCTTTTGAAAACACCATAAAACCTGTACATGAGGGGTACTGTTGTACTCGGGAGACTTCGCTGAACACAAATATTTGTGTTTCAAAACAGTAAAAAGTATCGCAGCAATAATATCGTCTGTGTAAGTGCTGTTTGTGCGTGAAAAATTAAAAAAACTGTACTTTTACTGGCTATATCATCGTTGTAATACATTTTACAGTTTTGAAACACTAATATTTGTGTTCAGCGAAGTCTCCCGAGTAGAACAGTACCCCCCCATGTACAGATTTTATGGTGTCTTGGAAAGTTATATGGTTAAATATAGTGCTAGCAAATTAAATTCCCTTTACTTTCGGCATGGGTTGTCAGGCAGGTCCCGCTTATTGTAATTAAGATACCTAATTATGTAAAAATATTACATAAATATATATGTAGAATTAATATGTGTGTGTGTATGTATGTATGTATATGTGTATATATATGTGTGTGTGTGTGTGTGTATGTATATATATATATATATATATATATATATATATATATATATATGAAACAGAAGGCAAGCACTCACGGTCTTTTCTGGTCTCTTTAAAAGGAATTTTTTTATTTCATAGGTTAAAACTTGATTTGATCGACGTTTCAGCCAAACTTCATGGCTTTCATCAGGATCTTAACAGCTCAAAATACAACTAGCAAATAACACATTTATATAGCAAAACAAATTATACAATTAATAATTAAAACACTTACCACCTAAAGGCTGCACAGCTTCCACGGCGTTCTATCGCCGTCTCTGCGCATGCGTCAACCTGCCGCTACCCGGAAGTAGCGTGTTGACGTAATCGTTGCCGTGGATACCCGATATGTTTACCTAGCTCCACGGCAACCCAGCGAGTTGTATACTCGCTCTTACACAATCAGCCTTGGCGATCTACTTCCAATATACATCAAACTAAACATTTAAAACACATATTAAACAAAAAATATTCAACTGATTAGAGGAGTATTGTTCATTTTTAAATCACATTCTTAATTATATTATTTCTAAAAGCTATTTACATATCGGATTCCTAGGCATACTCTTATAGAGTTAAGATCTTACCACCATCTCATCATATAAATATTATTGGGTGTTATTAAAGTGACAACTACGAATTATATACAATCAATTATATTCCGATAACCTCAAAGTGCTAAACCTGCTATTTATGTACATTAAAGTGCTAACATTTGTATAATAAAGTGCAACATAATATGTTAAAGTGATACATGTGCTTTTTATGTACACCAAAGTGCTACATGTGCTATTTATGTACACCAAAGTGTTGCTTGTGCTATTTATGTGCACCAAAGTACTACTCTCATTTATACTACTATAAAGTCTCCTAATCACTAAGTACATTAAAGTGATAACATTTATATAATAAAGTGCAACATAATAGATTAGTGATACATGTGCTATTTATGTACACCAAAGTGTCACTTGTGCTATTTATGTGCACCAAAGTGCTACTTTCATTTATACTACTATAAAGTCTTCTTATCACTATACATTAATAATATTTTAATATTTTCTACTTTTAAAGTGCCCAAAAAATTATATTATACTCTTATATACAAAAATAGTGAACTAATAAGTCTAATAGTGTTATTTATATACATTATTTTCATAGAACCTTATTGTAGATTATATTGTATATCATATCAATATGCTTACTTAACCTATCTTGTCAACCAATCAAATTAATTCACCCCTCCCAGGGAAAATACTATTTTAAATAAGTGATTGAGTACAATCCTTTATCTAAATGGATAGGGTAAGATCTATCACCATGTTATTACATTTTTACTTTAATCCATTGTTAATTATTATTATCTATTCTTTTATGCTATAGGTCCTGTTTAAATAAATAGTATTATATCTCTATTATATTTGAATGTTAATGTATATTTATTAATAATAAATATATACATATTCCTCCTCTAATTCTAGTTAAAATATATATATGTTAATAACTCAAAGGAGGCAAACAATTATTTCAACGTTACTCATATAAATGGATGATATGATATCATCTCGTTCAGTCCTCTTGGAGCCACAGTGTCTAATTCCTGTATCCAGAATGTCTCTCTTCTCAACAGGGCATTACCCCTATCTCCACCTCTTCTAGGACAAGGTATCCAATCGATTGCTACGAATTTTAACATAGTCAAAGAGTGTTTATATTCTAAAAAGTGCTTCGCCACAGGTTTGTCTGTATGTCCATCTCTATAGGCAGTTCTTATGTTGGATCTGTGACCCCTTATCCTGTCACAAAGTTGCGTTTCGGTTTTCCCTATGTAGACCAAGCCACAAGGGCAAGAAATTTTATATATTACATGGGTCATCTTACACGTGATGGTATGGCGAATCTTGTACATCTTATTTTTATGTGGATGGTTAAAATTACGTGCTGGCACCATGTGACTACACGTCACACATCCTAAGCAGCGCACACTCCCTCTTACTTGTATTGTCTTCTGTTCAGTATAGCTCTCAACGGGGTCTGTTTTCATTAGTATATCTTTTAGGTTTTGTAGCGTTACTTACCTTAACCGGGGGCCGGTCGCGGTCCTTTCTTCAAGCCGCGCGCGGTCCTGCGGCTGCACGAGCCGCGCGCGGCTCATCCGACTGCTTCTGATGGAAGGCGGGCAGTGACCGCGTGAAGCGGTCACGTGTCCCGCCTGAAACTAAGAGCGCGCCGCGAGTCTCGGGCGCGCTCTTAAAGAGACAGTGGGAGCCTAATTGCCAAAAGGCTCCCATTGGCTCCTGTCATACCACACTCCCTATACAATTACCTATAGGGGGTGTGGAAGTGACAGGAGCCAATCACTTTGGTTTAAAAGCTATTTAACTTACCTTTTTCCCTTAGCTCGTTGCCCTATCGTGGTTTCTGTTTCAGTTCCCTTTAGCGCTTGTGGTGTTCAGTTATGTTTTCTCGTATTGACTTTGGCTTCGTATTCTGACTTCGTTTTCGCTTTATCCTTATCTGTACTGTTTGCCGGCTTGCTGTTTTCCGTGTACCAGACCCCGGCTTGTCCTAGTTTACGCTGTCTCTCTGTGCCCTTGACCTCGGTTTGTTCCTGGCTCTGTCTCCTCTCATATACGTCGAGTCCGGCCATTCTAAGGTCAGGTAGACGTATCTCTCCTCTGTATTTGCCTCTGTTTAGTTGGATCCTGCGTGTAGGGGTATATTCTCGTTACAGGTTTCTATTTCTTCGATAGCAAATTTGTGGTGATTCCTTAAATTCTTTTGGTAGACTTTTATCGCATGCCAACATATTCCAATTACGTTTCACAATGTTGTTTATTTTCTGTGATTTGCTGTGAAATGTCATAGGAAAAAACAA